GGAACATAAATAACAGTAGATAATTTAACTAATATATTTGGACTTCTAAATCGTCGAAATGTTTTATTTAAATGTGTACCACTCGCATAAATACAAAGCGTACATCAAATTACGTATTAATATAAATAAGTACGCGTATTGTAGAGTTTTTTATTTTTCCCTGTTTTTGTTTCGATGTCAAAGGTGAAGGTTAAGCCTAAACGACAACTTACACTTTCTTGTTTTGTTTCAATCGCCAACTTTTTTTTTTCATTTAGCTGCGTGTTTATATAAAACCCATTACGAAATTTCTTCCGGGGTACAACAGAATCGCCACGAAGATATTGCAAAATAATTTAAGTTACTTGTAGTAACAAGTATTTTTTAAGTTTAAAGAACAAGAGTAAGAGAGAATGAGTATGTTTGCGTGAGGACACTATATCTATAATAGTTACTAATATATAAAGCTGTAGAGTTTGTTTGTATGTTAGAACGCGCTAATTAAATCGCTCTTTAAATGATATAGAGTATAGATATATAGAGTATATATGTCTATGTTTTAAGATTGGGTACCCTGCAAGAACGACTGGACGCGGACGACGTTCGCAGCAGACGAACAGCTTAAATTTATATTGAACAGGAGGTTTGCAAAAACAAAAGTTGATACCCAATTAAATTAACTATTCTAGCTAGTATTTTATACTCTCTACCTGTCTAAGACTTAGTTTTTACATAATACCATACATGCCATATGAGGCTGCTTGAGCCAGAGTAGCCTATCTACAGTTTTATTACTTCACTTAATTATATTTTCATCGTCTAAAAATGTTCTACAAGAGCACAGTGGCCGAAAATGTTATGTTAATGTTAGACCGAATATGTTACACAACTAATAGTACAAATTCATTTTCGACTTAGTTAATTGCGCATTTTCATTTTACTCTTTATTGGAATTCATGTTTTTGTTATTCGGCTGCTGGCTCTCGAAGCCATAAGGCTATATAATACAAAATACAGATACTATAATGAGTTATTTTCCGAATGGAAATGTTTATATTTAGAGTTATTAAACATATTCTGTAATAAAGCAAAATATTATATATAGCTTGAATTTTAACAGAGTGGGTTTATAGAAACAGTGATAGAAGAAGGGTCTGTATGTAAAGGCTAATCTCCGAAAATTAGATAAAGTACGTACAGTACTTTATCTAATTTTCTGTACTGTACTGTATTAGTACCACTGTACCAGCTTAATTATATATTACAATTCAAAGTTTACACTTAAAAAATATTATTTTTAAACACGCTCTTTAGCTTTATAAATTATAACCAGTGCCCAAGAACGACTCAAGACGGACAAATACTGTTGTAGACATATTTTTCAATCCTTTAGAGAGAAATGATTCTTTGAAAAGTATTTTCGGATTGTTTGAAACCGTTTTCGCAGCCCACGCAACGGAAACCCTAAAGATGAATAATTTTCCCCGTTTTTTCTACATTTCCTGTTGTTCCTTCAATACTTTCTTTTTAACTGATGATGTGAATGCCTAAACGCGTACGTGCGTTGTAGATCGTATAGCAGAGCTGTTCCTTCGGTCCTAAGGCAGCCAGTCTTAAGCCTAAAGCAATCCTGGATTAACGGTCTAATCAACACAAAAAATTCGAACCAGTAGTTCCTGAGATTTCAGCTTTATAATTAGTAATTACTATAGCTTGTGAAATTACAATATACAAACATTTTAGCTTGCATTCCAAGCTAATTATAGCGTGTATTTGTCAATGATTCGGCTCAATTGGAGAATGTATCACGTGTTCTTGCAGCTCAAGCTTAAATCGGAATGTATCACGTTTCGCGTTCTCCATTTGAATGTCAACAGTAGAAAAGTGAAACGGGATAATCCTTAATGCAGCGCGCGAGTCGTCAATGCATATTAATGGAAGCGTTTTAAATCGATGCACACTCGTAGGGCGCTACGAGGTGCTACGCGTTAGGGTCTCAGCACACATATGGGATCGGAAAGGGATCGTAACCGTAACGCCTTTCGCCTAGCCGTCAACCAGGCGTCAACCTACCGTACGCACGTAACGTAAGCGTATCAGCAGCGCCTGTACGTCAACTCGGCTACGGCTAGGCGTCACCGCGCTTACGCCTCGTCGCCCGCTGGCTTCAAGGAGGACGCAAGCGCGGGGACGGAGAGACGTAAGCGCGGGGACGATGAGCCGTAAGCGCGGGGACGATGAGCCGTAAGCGCGGAATTGCAAGTTCCGAGGCGAGGCGATTACGTTACGATTCCGATTAGTGTGCGTTGCAGTAGGGAGTTTAATACAAACCATTCTGAACGGCTCGAGGCGTTACGGTTACGATCCCTTTCCGATCCCATACGTGTGCTGAGACCCTTACGTTACACGTTACTGGAAAGTTGGCGACGTATGAAGTCACAGAGACGTCGGGCGTGACGTCATATGACGAATAACGAGCTCGGTAATCTGGTGTTTTTTATCGAATCCGAAGAGATTTATGTAAAGGGTCTGCATTTAAATGGATTTGTGAGTTTAGCCTATAGCCTATAGGTATAACCGTATACTTATTCATTCTACAACTTTGACTATTAAATATATATATATCAGCTCATTAATTTCTTTTGCTTTTTTTAATGTTGGTCTTACTTTATGCTCTAGATGTAAACATACCTACGTGGCCTGACAAAAATAAATCATAACTTATGACTCAATCGTTGTCAAGTAATAATATTTTAAACTATTCTTTAAAGATAAGGAAACCTTTAAAAATAATAGATTGATAGTTCGATAATTTTAACAGGTCACAAAACTATGTAATCTATTGATTACATAGTTTTGTGACCTGTTAAAAACTATGTAACTATGTACGGATCAAAACTATGTAATCTATTGATTACATAGTTTTGATCCGTTGACCGTTTTCGCAGCGCACACAACGAATTCTCATAGCTGAATAATTTTCCCACTATTTCTTCGCTCATCTCAGTAGCAACTTGATGTTTTATAGCTATATTTGACTAACACAAAGAGAATTTTTAAATTCGAACCAATAGTTCCTGAGATTAGCTCGTTCAAACAAACACTTCAGCATTATAATATTAGTATAGCTGAAAATATTAGCCGATTGATTGCTACCGCCGTTCTAGTTAGTACCCTCGATCGATGTTTCAGCACGTTGCTATCAGGTCGCGCCAGCCCCCACGTGACAAGCCCCTTACCGATACACTGCGTCAAAACTATTAATTAGAATCGATTGAACGGGTTGAAACGCGATATATAAAGATCGCGTTAGAATTTCATTTCGGAACGATTTATGGTTGATTAATTTTCGTCATTATCCTTAGTCGTTTCTTGTCGTTATTTATATCCCTATATATCTACTAAATAGTCGTGTTGACGTATGTATGTACCTAGATAGTGTTGATAGATATAGTTCATAATTATTATGATCTATTTGTGTAAACAAACATAACATGATAATTTTATATGTTGTTACAATATAAAAAGTGAAATCCAAAAGAGGTAAGGTCTGTACATTTTTTTCGCAAGTAGTTCATCGATTGAAAGATAAGATTATATTCCCGGAATTCGATCACCAAACATCTCGCTTGTGCTACGGAGTGTACTTCGGAGTGGAGTTGCCATTTAATTATCTATATTAGTACCTAAATTATTTTCTTGTACATTAGTATGCAGCCAATACAATTAGTATGTTCCAATTGTCGTAATCATATAATTATATATGTGTACGTTATTCCAAAACACTAGTTTTGCATTTAAAATTACTAATGGTTCATAATACGCTACTTTATGTGTCATATTTGAGTATAGAATTGGACCGGAAATACAAGGTTCTTTTAAATTCAAATTCAAGTTATATGCAAAACGTTCCAAGTTTAAAAAGTCTTTTAAATGAAAAACTTTAACTGTTTGAAACGCGATATATATTAATTAAATTTGTTTGAACATTTTTTTAAATTATGCTCCGATGTTTCGGATGGTTTGCAGCAGACAGTGACAAGATTAACTAATACATATCGCGTCTTAAACCGTTAAAGTGTTTTAGTTAAATGCACTACTTGCGTAAAGTATACTCAGTAACAATATGTCTAATCAACGAATTCCCATCGCAAATCAAACGGACACAGAGGTGTGTCTGCTCAGTTCTATGTCAGCAACAATCGTGACGTGTACAAAAACGTAATTGTTACCGTCCAACAGTACTCACGTAGATGCAATGAGATTAGCATGTCAATCCTTGGTACTTATGTATAGTTCTCTTGTTAATGATATTATTGGTACAGTACTCGCTGTATTGTCATATATAAATAGGTATAAAGCATGCGGCCTTGTACCGGTCGCGTCCTGCGACTCACATACGGTAATCCTCGCTTGTAATATCTATGTGTATTGTCCTCACAAGAGCATCGTTGCTTAGAAGTGTCGCTATTCTATTTATAGCTCTGTATTACATAGCTATCCGAATTTGTTATCAATTCGTTATTTTTTTTGAAGGCGCGATTCTCATAGAAGTGATATCGGCTTGTACATGGATCAGCTAATTATTATATTATATTTCTCCATTTCGTCCTCGTAGGTAGCTTCACTCGAATGTAACTTATGGCGAGAGTGAGGAAACAATCGTCCATCTACTTACTGAATGCTCTGCGTATTCGAGATTTAGGCAAGTACATATGGGTTCGAAGTAACAGAAGATGATAAGAATGAAAGGTGGAATAAATAGCAAGATTCTGCTAACAAACAAAATAAAACAAAGTGAGAGTTGGATAACCCAAAAATCCTCTGCATGTAGGAATTGGGGAAATGGGTGAAATGGTCGGCTGATGGTGTGTCCTGATCACCCGGCCTTCTATATGTGTCGATAGAATACCCGATAGAAAATAATGGCGAGTTATGTCGTCGCAAATGTTTGTTAATTTTGAGGATCGTCCCCCGTCGCGGGTTGTTTTTCGAATGGGAGCGAGCGATTTGAAATTGTAATGCGGCGTGCAGCGCGGGCGGGCTGCGGGGCACGTGTAGCGGCCGGCGCTGGCACGTTTTCCGGCGGGCGCGGGGCGCCGCCGCACGCCGCCCGGCACGTGGTGCGTCGTGATCTCCTCAATCCCGCCTCGTATCGCCCCGGGATCGGTCGTGTCCTCCGCCACGATTGAGCTCGTTACGGACGCGCGCCCGAGATGCAGCTGGCCAGCGCGCCGCCTGGACCGACACGGCTACATCGACATGGGCATCGACACTATGCCCGTCCCGCTACCGCCGCAACCGCTGCAGCAGGCGCATCCGCCCTCCCGTGCGGTTGACCGTTGCTTTCTAGAACCCCCAGCGCCCGCGCATGCCCGCTATTACTCAGGTATTTATTTCATTCCTAGAGATCTTCTGAGGCATAAGACGGTCACTTCAGCGTTCAAGTAAATATCTAGTTCGAGTTGTTTGTTTATTTGTGTAGGTGCTAATATCTATGTATATAGAAGACAAGTATTTAAATTTAAACGGTTGGTTAATGGAATTAAAGTTGACGTATAACGCCCACTCGAACCTGCAAGTGATAAGGATTCTCTACATCACATTCTCGTTTCACGCGTTGAGGTATAAAGCCTCTTTCCTCTAAAGCCACCTAAGATTTAACAAACACCTTACTCCATGTTTCTCTAAACACAAAGAGCACAGAATAAACATACATACAAATATAACAAACATCTTATTCTTTATATCACTTATTTTAAGCGTTCTATTATTTTTTCCTCCTACCTTAATGAATTGAGATGTCGTTAACTGGCTGCAAAATAAAGAGATAAAGTAAACGATATTTTATATATACATACAAGTATTTTTACTCCTATAATTTAACGCAAGTTGATTATAATGAAAAACTTAAAAAAAACATTACTTGCATTTTCTTCGCCATTTGATAAGTAATTACATTCGTACCGTTAGAAAATAAATTAAAAACTGTTTCCATCTATATGTCATATTAAAACGACATACGAGTTATGCACGAGGTTAGTTTAATTTCGGCTGACCGAGGCACAGTCTACTGATTACCTAGGTATATAAATCAGTCAGTGGAAGTGACAGAAATAAACGTGTCTACGCCACACCGTAGTTCACTTTGTGCGGTTTTTTGCGATTTGAAAAACTTAAGACATTCACAACAAATGAGTTTAAGAACAAGCAATGACGTCAGTTAAGTAAACTAATGGTAGAACAAATAGTACAATTAAGTCGATTATTAATTTCGAGCCACATTTTAACTTGATGGAAGGGCAATTCTCAAAATCTACACATATATATAAAGCTGAAGAGTTTGTTTAAACGCGGTAATCTCAGGAAGTACGAGGTCGAATTTGATGTTTTGTGTTGGTTAGAGCATTTATCGAGGAAGGCTATATATAGCCTATAAAACATCGCCCTGTGACAAATACAAGCGAGAAATGTGAAAAAAAATGGGAAAATTATTCGTCATTACGGGTTTCCGAGGCGTACGCTGCAAAAACAGTTCAAGATACCAGATAAATATGTATGAAAGAATGATTCCTCTTTAAATGATCTAAAAAATTTCTCCGACGCTATATGTCTATCTTTTAAAATTAACTTGCAAGAATGATAGGAAGGGATGCGACGGACGTCGTGTGTAACAGCTTAGGTTTACGAAGTCGCTGACACAGCTAGTTTGATATAAGATTGTTGTAGACTTTTGTCACTCCATTTATTCAAACAGGGAGAAGTAATGTAACGAACACAGCCTTTTCAAAAACGTGTAAGCTACCCCCTTTTTACCTCTCAGCTAGTATCGCCTCTGTAACTAGTTGGGTAAACGTGTTGCCTAGCATTGGGTCAAACAATCTATTGTAGTCTAACCCAAGACCTGCCAGAAGTCAGTGAAGAAAGAGAACGTGTTCGCCCCACGCCCCACGAGGGTATTATTTATATTTCTATTGATAATCTAGCTAATTAAATTTGTCTACCAATAGAAATGTTCACACATATATACACATATACTATTTTCTTAATATAAGAATTTTTAACCCACAAAATGACACGCTTTAGTGTTAATCGTACCGCATTTAAAAGTGGTAGGAGTTTTTGGTGCATAGCATTCGTTCTCCAATGGGTATATAAAAAAAACTTATTTTTCGTACATATCTAAAGTCATTCATCAGTCTAGTCAGTGAACTATGATCAATAGATTTTTGAAACACTCAATTATTTCAATTACTCGTTGTTTTTTCACAAATAAGATAATATCTACCTAATTAACATAATTTTTTGGTTGTTTACGACCGACCAATGTTATAATCCTGCTAAAATTATGAAGGACCCTTTGTAAGGATGTTTGTTCCCCTATCACGCCGTTTGATTGCATTTGATAAATTACGTACTCTGAAGGCCAACAAAATATCGTTGTTGTGGGATGAACTAGGAATACTGTCTTTAGTTTACGCGAGTAGTACATCAGCCGTGTCTATAGTTAACGCGAGTAGTGCAGCAGCCGTGTCTATAGTTAACGCGAGTAGTACAGCAGCCGTGTCTATAGTTAACGCGAGTAGTGCAGCAGCCGTGGTCACGGGGGAGACGGGTCTCCCCCTTGACCACGGCTGCTGCAAAGCATCCGAAACGTCGGGCCGAAGTTAAAAATCATTTTCAAATAAGTTTAACTAATATATCACATTTTAAACCGTTAATGTGTTTTATTTAAATGAACTAGGAATTCTAATAAAGTAAACTATTATTAATAACTTCAATCAAAAAATAAAAAATTATCATCATCTCATGTTCTCTATTGTATAAAGTAACAAAGTAAATTGAGTAAATAAAATTGTTCTGAATTTTGGCTTCATTAGCTTTTCATAAATTAATAATTACATATCAATGCTTACCTTTATATTTATTTTGACCGAGATTTTTAAACATACGTAAGAAGTCGTTCGCAGTGGATTGTGTTCCAACCTCATATTAATATAAATCTTCATAACATTATATTTTTACAATTAAATTAGGCAAACCACGTAAATGAAAGAAACGAACAAGCAAGTGTTTTTTGTGAGTAAGTAAGTAAGTTTTCAGTGAGTATAAATAATATAAGCCAAGGTCCTATTCTTACAAATAAGTAAAATATGTTTTACATCATATTTTTATTGTCTATTACTTATGATATTTGTATGTTTATAATATTACATGGCAGTGCATATTAAAGCTAAAATAAATTTTATTTCGAATTCGGAAAAAAACATTACGATACAGATACTCGAACCCACTGTGTATCGCGATCGGCTTTAACACAGTCCATCTTATCACACATATTGTGAAATTATGTTAAATACAATTCTAAATAAGATTCATACATTTCGCGTTTTAAACAGTTATAAGTGTGTTAAATGTGTACTACTCGCGTAAACTACAGTACTGCACGCCTGTATCTATTTCTGTATATGATTTTCGTCACTGTTATTTCGTATTTTTGTAACATAGATTTAATAACACAGATAAAAGTTATTACAATGTTTATTTTTTGTACATATGTTTATGCACTCTTTATTATAATAGTTTTACCTGGCCTTTAGTGCTTACAACTCGTAAATATTAATATGATCATGAATTTATTAGAAACCTTCTCAATAACTGTATCTAAGTGAATTAAAATAAATCTTTAGTTATCGGTAAATACATTCTAACACACACGCGTAGGGTGGAGTTATATTTTTCATTTTAATTTAGTTAAATGATACTATTTTATTCAAATTTTCCGACTCGAGAAACAATACAAAAACATGCTGTGCTTTAAACATCTCAGCAATGTAATAACCCCAAAAAAGCAAAAAAAAACGACCGTTTTATAATGACACTTTGAATGGGAAACATGGAGCGACTGAAGTGAATGAATTTTAACTAGTCTCCACGTGCCGCGTGTCTATAGAATTATATATATAAATGTGTATTTTGATGTCATAGCGATAACAATAACCCGCTTACTGTGTGTATACCGCCTAAAACCTGAAACACCTTTCTGGAAAATGTTAAATATTAATATGCCTAAAGGCGGGTACTCACTGGCAGGCCATAACAGTATTTTTGTCTGCGCATGCGCTAAGAACGATTCATTGTGTGCTAAAAATATGCCACATTTTTTAAGTTTAAAAAGCAAAGGACTAACATAGTGGAAAGTGTAAGGGCGTATTGTCCACCGGCTCGTTGGTTTGATATCCATCGGGTTCGACATGTTCCTAATCAATGATTATTATTTCTGAAACATGTTAGACTTTGTCTGGGAATCTGGTTATTTTTTAATAACAAAATACCGGACGTAAATATGAAAAAAAACAGTAAAATTTAACTATGTTTGAATGTTAGTCTGTGGATTCCCAATCTAAGGCCAACATAAGTCAACTGTGCATCCTGTTTCGATGTTATATGACTTGATTACCTTTACATTCCATCAAGGGAAATCCACGCTTTTCTGTCGTCCTGTATCATTTTCAGACAAAATATTTAAATCATCAATAAATAATTTAAAAGCCAAACATGCTACTTCGGAACTAACGCACTTTTAAAATAAATACTAGTATACACCTCGACTCCTACACATGAGTTACGTTACAATCGAGGCGCGCTAGTGAGAACCCGACGTTACGTGTATTATACAGCAACTGAGCTCTCGCGGAACGGTTAGCTAATGACGTCGATTGTCGCTATTTAGAATAGGACGCAATGTGAAAAACATATCGAACTTCCTATAAGACAATTTTTGACAGATAAACAACATGGCGGATAATTTTCCGCAACTGCTTAAAAAGTTTAACTTCACTTTTTTATATAAGAGGAGGCACAAGTGTGGTAGACTGAAACCGAAACGCGATTAAACTAAACGACTTTTTCAAGGTACGTGACCCGGACGCAATTTCGATATACCTACCATCCATTTAGAATCTTAATTTTCAGACGAAGTCCAACACGTTTGAGAAAATATAAATTGACTTCAAAAGTTTAGACCCGGTAGGGCTCGAACCCACACCCGTCGATTATTAGCTAAATACCCTTACACCAACGCCCGTCCGTGGGTTTGAATTTATATTTTTACTTTGTTGTGTAATACAAAAAGTAACTTAACCCACATTTTACCCTGCTGAAGTTTGTTAGACTTGTTTTTTTTAATTGAAGCGACACTAACAGGTTTTCCATTTAATTGAAATAGATGAAAAAACTACATGAATAAATGAAAAATAAAAATGATTGACAGTCATAAAATTACCAATCGTTGGCTTATTTATTAATATCAGCTATTCTTTTAATTCTTTGCGCAAAAGCGAAAAAAATTAACTATAAAGTACAATAACTATAATGTGACACATTTTATTAATCTTTTAATTGCACTATCTGATATAGAAAACTCGTCTACATAATAATTATCGGAAATAAGTTTTCATATAATATATGTTGCTATCGGTACTTTAATTTGAACGTATAACTTTTCGATTTCGTTTTGAATATATTCGTTTTAAACTTGCTACAAGTATTTTATACGCTGTATTCGGTCGGTACATATATAACAAGATGTACAACGTGACGGGCTCATTGGTCTATTGGCAACTAACGGGTTTGATCTCCACCGGGTCGAACATATTTCTAATGAAATTATATATTTTCTGAAACATAGACTTCGTTTGGAAACCTGATTATTAAATCAAAATTCTATACGGTATAGATGAAAAAGAAGTGAATTTTAATCGCGTTTCGGCTAATCTAAATCAAAAATAGATCAACAGCGCATTGTTGAGATGTTAAATGTCATGAGGTCTTCCATCTCCCATCAAGTAAATCCTATATATTCTTCTAATATATAAAATTCTCGTGTCACAGTGTTCGAACTTGAACTCCTCCGAAACGTCTCGACCGATTTTCACCAAATTTGATATGTGTATTCAGTAGGTCTGAGAATAGGACAACATCAATTTTTCATCTCCCTAAGTGATAAGGGTTGTTCACCCTTAATTTTTTTTTTTTTTAGAAAATTTCTAATTTCTATTTTACTATGATACAACATACAAAAATACATACAATCCTCAATTTTCACCCTTCTACGATCAACCCTTATTTTTAATAGACATTTTAGTAAAATTATTTATATGGCAAAACAACGTTTGCCGGCTCAGCTAGTATCCTATATATATTTATTACTTATTTAATAATAGAAACGAAGAAAGAACCGTACATCCCACTACGTCCGTTGCAGGATAGTTTTACGTTGAAAGGAAGGGCTGGACTACAACAGTATAAGCTCTAAAGTATGATCATAGATGTCCTTAAAAGTTCTGCCTACATTGAATACTCGTAGGTACATCCTAGGATAGGACGAATGAATACTATCTAATATACATAGAATGGTTGCAGTAAAGGGAGGGGGGGATTATAATCACCACTTTTCGGCAACGCAACGGTGAAAGTGCTCGTGTTTTTGAGAAAGGAAAAGTAGTTTATTTTTTATAGTAAGAGGCTGTTGGTGCTTTTGATACCTCGCGCCCCGCGCCCCGCGTCCCGCACCGCGTCAGCTGATCGCATGAAAGTGAGAGCTATCACGGCTTTCGTTCACCCAGCGTGAGTTGTGTACTTAGCATATAAAGTTTTTAGTTATTTGAATCTTTACTAAGAGAAGAAAACTTAGGTAATTTGCATAACGAATGCTTTCATGTAGTGAAAATATTTCTCATCTAATATTCAACTTAAAAGTTTTGCTATATATATACTTAGTAGTATCCTAAAATGAAATCCTTGTAACTCATAGGATCATGGGGTTTGAATAGAAATAGATATTTTTATTGTAATAAGTCTCTATTCAGTTAATTTTTAACATTTTTCTAGTTAATGGTCTACAATGCTCGAATCCGTACTGTTTGTAGTTACGCGAGTAGTATGCATTTAAATAAAAACACTTAACGGTTTAAAACGTGAAGTGTATCTGTTGACTTGTTAAACAAATTATTTCAACTACGATGTTTCAGATAGATTAGCCGTGGCAGCAGCTGTAAAGCTAAAACACAAAATACATTTCGCATTTTAAACCGTTAGAAGTGTTTTATTTAAATGATCGAATATAGCTAGAAGATTTTTAAATGTAGATTTAAAAAAGTAAAATAGAACACCCATATAAGAACCAAGTTTTGTTAGCGGTTTTGACCTTCGTTACGGAACCCTAAAAAACTGCCAAAATCGTGTCCACAGCGGCTCGAACATATATAATAAATCGCTAAATATGTTTGTTAAATTTTAAACAAGTTAACTAGTATATATTCGCGTTTTATACCGTTAAAGATTTAAATGTTTACTCCTCCCGTAAACCCCAGACATGCACTATCGTTAAAATTATCTTTTTATTTGCATATACCTACTCAGGTCCATGAAAGAATGATGCGGGGTTTCCTCATATATATATATATGCAAAATATGGTAATTCCTCAAGTTCATCAAATTCAAGACAAGTTCACTAACGTGAAGTTAAGACCTGGATTTGTACCTGAATTAAGATCATTAAAGAAGGTTCTAGATTAGAATAAGTGTGTCAAAACGTTACGTCGCAACTTGATCTTAATAATGGGGATGTTTAACCATTTTTAAAAAGATTGGGAGGGGGCTGAAATATCACCACTTTCAAGCATTTCCTCACCAAGTTAATATCGAATTAGTGTACATGAATTACCTCTCCAAATGGACCATAGACCCATCATCCAGTGACGTTTGACGAGCCTTTGCGTCTTCCCTAAAATTAGTAGAAGGAAGAAGATGAAGGAGGGGGGTGACCTCCAGGATCTTCCTTCATTTTTTTTCTTCCGATTCCTTGATTTAGTCACCCACTATAGCAATAATGTCGAACAATCGTTTTCAATGTAAACTTTAGCTTTTTAGATCGTTGTTTAGAAAGAGAGCAATTTGCAGAACGCACCTGCTTCAAACAAAACACTATTGTTAGGTTTAATGTGATTTGAACACCTGTTCTTGGCCGAGTACTCCTTGGTCTTGATAAAGATATTGGGGTAATTCCTTATCGATGTTCGAAACTTCTTGAACATACTAAGATGCAGTATGGGCGGTTAAAGAACGTTGTATGGGCTATGGGCTAAAGAATGGTGCTCGAGCGCTAAATAGATATGAGTTATATTTGGCATTCTGGATTTTTACTATCTATTTATATTAAACAGTAGTTGGTCAGCAGAAGTCTGCCTCGCATAAACGTAATTATCTGATCTAGCTGGTAGGGGTATTCCCCTACCAGCTAGATCAGATGTGATGGGTGTTTGCTTTGATTCGGAAATCCACAGACGGAAACCGCCATGTAACTTCAAGGCTGGACGGTGGTTCGGCTCACGGACGGAACTTTTTTATATACCCTCAAATCTAACCCCAGATTTCCAAAATGTTTCAGAAAAAGTCGGTATCGTACAAACCCGTTGATTTTTAGCCAAACATTGTTACAATTACACCAACGAACCCGTCAAATATCTATTCTCTAATTGCAACAGTTTTATTCTGCTCGGGCTTAAAAAATAAGACGCAATTCTATTTATTTTTGAGATGAAACAGATTATTTATCGTTAATTAGTTGATTAAAACGTATAAAACTAACGTTTTAACGTCACGCAAACGGACTTATAACAATAAGATATAGGTAAGTATAGGATATAATAGTTTTAACACGTAACAAAAACAAAGTGACGGTTTGTCAGAATTTACAGACATCTTCAACCGTAGTTTAAAGGGATAACTGTGTTTGCATTAGCAATTTTACTATTTAGAAATTATGCGTAGAAAATGAAGTTTAAATAAAACACTTTAACGGCTTAAAACGCGATATATTAGTAGCTAATATATAAGTTTAACTAATATATCGCGTTTTAAACCGTTAAAGTGTTTTATTTAAATGTGTACTACTCGCGTAAACTATTAGACACTATTTAAATGAAGTTTGTTAGATGTTTATGAACCACTATCGAATGAATAACACTCAAATCCACGCTTCTTCGAGCGAGCTATGTGGAAAAACTAGTGTTTTTCTCAGCTACATAGCACATACACACATATACACTAACATATATATGTGCAGTAATAATAACAATTGAGAGACACGACACGTGTAGCAGATCTAAACAATCTATTTCACAGTGTTGAATAATGTATCGCATTGATATTGTAAAAAATTAATATTTATATTAGGCAATTATATAAAAAAATATCCATCTATTCTAGTCATATTAGATAGGACGAGTAGAGAAATCGTTGGTTTTTTTTAAGATTTTAATCTTACACTACCTACATATGACAAATATAGAATTGAATACTGTCTATAGTTTACGCGAGTAGTACACATTTAAATAAAACACTTTAACGGTTTAAAACGCGATATATTAGTTAAACTTATTTGGAAATGATTTTTACTAATATATCGCGTTTTAAACCGTTAAAATGTTTCATTTAAGAATATAGAATTGCTCAAAGTTATTTAAAATATTCAATATACGCTGTGTAAAATAATTATTTAAAAATAGAAGCATTATGACTACACGAATTGTAATTACATAAAGCTTAGATAACAGCTTCCATGTACCACAATTAATTTACTTTTTAATCATTTTAAATATGATTTAGTGAAAAGTATCTACCTACTGTCTAAACTTTAGTTCGTAATACAGAACAATACAATAGTTCCCGGTATCGAAAGAGCAAACATTATTTGTATTTTACTTGAAAAATATCCAGTACTGTATTCTATGATCAAGTGATCGCTTCGTTGTTGGGGAGATACATATATATTTTCAAAATACTACAATTGGTCCTTTGAGTAAGACACGACGTACATAAGAATTCAACGCGTTTAGCGTCAAGCTGGGCGGGCGGTGATTTGGGCAGGACAATTTTTATGTATCTCTAAGCCCTAAGGTTTTTAATTTTCTGTTCGTTACACATTCGTTGTATTATAATTGACTTCAACAACGATCAAACAGATCGGTCGATTGTAAATATGAGATAGGAACGGTATCAGCTGAAAATCAGCGTAGTGTTTGGTGTTTGGTCGGCAAGGTACAGTCATCGGTCAACCAATTGCTGAGCTGATAACCTCGCGCTTGTAGGTTATCGTTGGCTGGACTCATGTTTGTATCATCAAATCCCTTAGTAGTATCTACTTGCCCACCACGATCGACCAAGAACGCGTGTATCATATACGGTACAGTGGAATCTTGAAATGCTAGGCTAGGGCGGCTGCAGAAACTGTACGTAATTGATATCTGTATGGATTCTGGTTCCGGCCGGGGGTCATGGTGGGGAGGTGGGGCGGTGGGGCGCGGCGTGGGGAGCGCGGGCGTTGCGCGTGCGCGCTGACTCGCGAGTCGGTCGCCGCCGTCGCACGACGCCCGTGGCTCCTCGTGCCAGCGCCGCGATGTTTCTGTTGTGACGTGCTACCAGCATGGAGTATCCTCATCCGCAGCCCGTGCAGCCGCTGGGCCCGCCGCCGCCGCCGCAGCCTCTGCCCCCTCTGCCCCAACTACAGCACGCACACCTGCAGGACGACGACCGCTGGAGCCAGTACCACATCTGGAGGCAGCACGTCTTCGTCAACGGTCAGTGGCGCGCTTGCGATTCCTGGTTCTGATCAGATGTTGTGAGATGACGTGCGACGTTTCCCGTCACGTGCATACGGACGCGTCTAGCTCAATTAGCTCGCTTCGGTGTTTCGCCGGTTCGCTCCATCTAGATAAACGGAACAGTTCCTTAATGCCCCGCTGTCTGTAGGTCGCCTTTGCTGTTCATTTGTCATTTCTGGGATTATCAGGCTTGGAGCCTGTAATTTAATATATCTTGGAGTAGGTCCATCAGGCTTAGAACCTGTAATTTAATATATCTTGGAGTAGATCCATCGTTGAATTTGGTGATGGCAACTGTCTGTTGCTCTGTTTCCAAAATTGATTCTATCTGAAAGGTCCATATTTGCTAATATTCATTTATTTATATAATTATCAGCAATAATTTCACTTTTAATAAGTCATCCTCTTAGTTGACGTCTATCTAGTTGTCCAGGTTATTTGAACTTACATTGGAAACGTTTTTTTTATTTTTACAAGAATACCATCGTAACTTAAATTTCGACTAATCAATATTATCGATACATTTTCCGTGACCTATTGAATTTCTGTACGGCTCTTGTGACCTTTAAACATTAGTTTCTCGGAAGTAACAGCATTCCTTATAATAATGTAAACATTGGTGTATATTTTCAGTCGATATGAGATTTTTACAGGTTTTCGTATATCTGGTGTAAAAGTATAGTATATTTCGATGCCATACAAACTCAAGCAAAGGTTAGACAAGTACAACGCGGACTATTGATATACCTAACCGTGTCACTTATACGGATTATCGCAACCTTGAAAACTACGAACTGCTTAGGCGAAGATGCCGAAGCAATATTTTTCATTTCACTCTTACAAACTATTCTCCAATACAAACAATTTTAGGATGCATGTTAAATTTAAAGTATTATAGATAGACATTCGTGTCACACCCACAGACAGGGTCACCTAGAGTCATCGCTCACTAATGAAGTACATAATTATTCAAACAAAAATTGCTCTATTCTTGATTCATACACTTGTTTGTGAGCCTTAACTATTTGTAATTTAATCGGAAATTTTGTTTGTTCTTCTGTCTTGTAGCTGTATTGTATAGGCTTATGAGTCGGTTTCAAAATCGCGATTAATCATATAGCAGATAGTGAGTGGCGCCGCGGGTCGCCGCTTGTGCAAAAACGTGAAAAAACCCGAAGAATCCGTGGGTCTCAATCTTTCGTTTACGATCACGTCGACCGATCGCGATGCATGGAACAAACTTTCACTTCGAATATTTGGGAAAAAGTAGCGACCTTTTCGCGACTTTCTCCCGCCGGAGCCCTCCCCCCCGCCACGCCCCGCAGCCACGTGCTTTCTTCCGCATAGGCGACCACTTTTACTTTTCGAACTCGACAATACGCTCTCGAGATGATATTACAGCCTTTAAGCCGTTAAATTATACATTCCTTATTTGAACGCGGAAATTTCTAAACTTGTAACCTAAACGGCTGAATTGGATACGATGAAATTTTTTATAGACATTCTGTCACATAGTTCAAGTGAAAGTCGAGTAACGACTACTTGAATGGGCATTTTTGGGTCTTAGGTTTGATTCCGAAAACTGAAATCTTCTACGTCGTAGTAAGACAATCTTATCAACTTATGGTACGAGTAGTAATTAAAGATTTTAATAACAAACATATCAGTATGTTTTTATTTTAGCAATGTCATTAAGTACGGTTTGCTATATTTGATAAGGGGTCGGGTCAAAGCGGAAATTTGGGACGTATCGATAACTATTAGTTTTTAAATTAATCATCGTTATTCTTGCATTTATTACTTAAAAACGATACTGACTACAATTACATACAAGCACATACTAACTAAAATGTCGGTAACACATGATATATTACTAATTATTAAGAAAAAAAGTAATTATTAAAAAAAAGCCATAGATTAGTATTTAATTATTTATTTTTTTTGCATTTAGTTTGCCTGGAACATTATTATTATATTAAAATCACAATTATAAACAGATTGATTGTTGTAGTCTACATCTCTCTATCTATAAAATGTCTAAACATAAGAATGACAAAGAATGTTTATGTATAACAAAGTTTTTATATGAATTTTGTTTATATTCGTCTAATAAATTTATCTCTCAAAGTCCGTTAGCTATATTTCTTATATGAAAACGTTTCTAAGATTATATGAAAGTACCGTAAAAGTCAGATACGATCCATGGTTACTTATAACAGTTTTAAAATTTTCATTAAATTCATAAGAAATTTCCATATTTTTCTAACCTACTTTAAGTATAGATTCGATTCTTGAACAAATAGTAAATATTAGGATCTAAGTCAGAATTTCTTTTTCCCTGTATTTTGTTGAACATTAGTATAGTGGTTATGTCTGTAGTTTACGCGAATAATACACATTTAAATAAAACTTAACGGTTTCAAATGCGATATATATATTAGTATATCGCTATACTCATAGTGGTCATATCTCGACATCAAAGCCATGACCCGTTTCCACACATACCACTAGACCTACGGGCCACTGTAGTAGTCCAATTTACATTGTTATGTGGCTTATCACTTGTTCAAGTAATAGATCTCGCAAGCAGCTAGAGTAAAAGTGATCTTCGGCAAGTTCTTCCGCAACCCGCCTCACCCCGCACCCCGCCCCGCGCTCTTCCGACTTTTACTTTTCCGCTGACGTACGTGCTCGGTCTGTTGCTTAAGGCTTAACCATATCTTATAACCGTGGAAATGATAATTCATTGCTATCATCTCATCAACAATATGGAAAATTCGTTCTAACAAACAATTTCTTAATAGTATTATCGTATTTTTATTTAACTGTGAAGATGTAGCGTCTAAAAACTACACAGTACACTAAAAATTAAATAAAACACTTGACGGTTTGAAATGCGAAATATTCACTTATTTACAATACGTTAACTAAGCCATGACATTTCGGATGCTTAGCAGCATCAGGGGAGACTGAAGATGGAGGGTGTCCCAAGTGTCAAAGTTAAATCTACTACGCTAACGCCATCTGTTTTGTTGTAGTTGGTATTTAGAAAATTGGATACTTAATGTTATAAATGCTAAAGTTTAATGTATTAATGGAACCGTAAGCCTAAACCAATTTTATTAAAAATATTGTTTTGTACACGAAAAGTTAGAAAATTTTCATACCTGAAAAGGCATATTTATTTTTTTATAATCATTTCTATACACTAGTTAAAATACATAATAAACATGCCGCGAATCTTGTATATAAACGATACATAAGCGGTTCTTTCTATAATTATTTTTATTTCAGCGTAATTCAATATATCTTGGACGGCGAATTACGAATCCCACCGTTGCAGTAACCCGATACAATAACAACGACAATTATATGTATTTACGCATAATTCGTTATATAAAGCACAAATTCTACGAAATAAATATATGAATTTAAGGCAATGTTGAATCACAGTTAGGCTCTGTTTTATCGAATGTCATCGAATTTTCGCTTTTTAATGTAAGTAACAAAATAAACTACAAAAGATACTATGAAACAGTACAGCATTGTGTATGACATATCCAAAACGTAGTAAAAATCATCTGCAATTAAGTAAAACTAATACATATCGCGTTTAAATCAGTTAAAAGTGTTTTATTCAAATGTGTAGTACTTACAACTTAATAGTAATTTTTTTTTTATTAAACTTCTTTAAAGTACAAATTCAAGAAAGGTACAGCTTTCGAGCCCCGGAAAAATAATACACTTTCAGTCCCTTGCCCCCATATAAGGAAAATGGGAAATCATTTCATACATTAAGTGTTGCACTTAATTGTTAAGATTTCAGTCCTACTTCGACCATTTAGTTAACTTAGTTAGTTAACTTATGTCCTATGATATATATAATTAGATCTAATAAAAAACCTCATTGTTTCGTATACCATATCCTCTCTGTTTTATGATTGAGAAATTAACCCAAGTACTTACGGGGCATGGCGGGTTCTCGGCCTACTTACATAGGTTTAAATGTAAGGAGAGCCCGACTTGCCCCTGCGACGACGAGCACACGGAAACTGTGGAACACATTCTATCGGAATGTCCTATGGGCATGACGGCTAGATTGAACCTGGAAAATTATGCGGAACTCGAGGCACGCAAAGAAAACTACAATATAATGATAAGCAATACAAAAATAAGACCTCTTAGTTAGTAGAGATAGTTTACAATCTTAATGGAGTTGACCAGCTTACTTCTATAAGGGTTAGTGGACAATAACAATCTTATGTAACGAATGTCAACGCACTCCGCTAAAGGATTCGTGTCAACCAAACAACCTTGACCCTTATGCAACAGTCATTGTAAGCGATGTTTATTGGACAACCGAAATAATCGGTTAAACTGAAATTCAGTTAGAACCGATTTAGGAATGTTGAATAAAATTAAAACTTTATTATTTGGTTAGAAATATACATAAGTGGTATAACCACTTGTTAAAAGACTAGCTGCGCCCTCGACTAAAAATTTGTGGGAAACCCCACTGTCGTCTAAAGCCTTCCTCGATAAATGTTTTAATAAATCGAACCAGTAGTTCCTGAGACTAGCGTGTTTAAACTAACTCCGAAGCCAAAATAGGACGACAGCGCTTTGTGTTAGATGTTACATGACTGTTATAAGTAATGTAATTGAGCACCGTGCTTGTCTGTATTTTTCTGTTATTAAAAAAAAAACTACTTTATAATATTAGTACATGTTAAAATCAGTCTTTCACACGTAAACCGAATTTCGGTTACGGTTCGATCTACATTCGGCTCATCACTACTAAATATGTTATCGCGTGACGTGTCGTGACGTGCTACGCTGCACTAGTGCCCCCGTGCCCATGCGCACTGGTCCGTCGCTCACTTCCTAACTCCGCAAGAATATTTCACTTTTTACTCAGTCAATGGAGCATGATGTTCAATGAATTATTAATGGTTCCGATTTATTAATTCTTACTAATTGTAAAGGTATACGTCGATTTTAATATCTACTGGGGTGCTATGTTGTTTATTTAATAATCACAGGGTAGAGTAAGGGGTGGATAATACAGATATTTGTAAAATAAAAGAAGATAGAGTGATGGTGAGTTGATAGCTTTTGTTTATTCTACGCCCTTCGAGGTAGCAAAGACTTCAAAAATAACGTTCATAAGTGTATTTGGGTACTTTAAAATATTTTTTTGCTTACGGCGCAGATATCATTTTATAATTTCGGTACATATTGAAATGGAGTCGTGTTCACACTTTCTCGTTAACTTTCGCTCAATTCGCACGTTTACGAAAATGCTCGCGCGCCGGAAAACAATCGCTTTCTCCGTTGCGCAACCGCCTTTACTTCCCGCTTCCTCCCCCCCACTACCCGATCTACACTCCTTACCTATATACGAGCATGAGGAAGTTAATCATTGCGCAACGCCAATAATAATTATCGTAGAGCCTTACTAGGTAAACACGTTGTCTGCCAAGTCTTAGGCCCTTTGTACTCGGAGGTATGTGGTGCCTCTTAAGTTCCATATGTCCACAATTCTGTGTTCGTTTAAATAATAGATTTACATGCGAATAAGAATGGCATATCTTAACAATTAAGCTAAAACATTTATAACACGAAATGTATTAGTAATATAGTTAGTTTCACGTACAATTTAGTTTACCCTACGACGTTTTAGATGCTTTGCAGTAGCCATCGTCAAGAATTTTTCAATTTCCCTGAGATTAGCGCGTTCTAACAAACTCTTCAGCTTTATATATTAGTATACACTAGGTACTAAATACACTACACAAATACTGTGAATAATATGAGTATATATTATATAAACCGTGTCTATTGAAAATACGTTGTGTAGTTTTAAAGATTTAAGCTGATAGCTGAAGTTAGCGCGACCGCCATCTTGTGCAGGGCAATGTCAATTTTAAGCAAAAAAGTCGAGTCCCCCCCCCCCGCACCCGTGCATCCCCTTTCTCCCGACTGATACCTGCTTTTCAGCCCGGCCGAAAAAATTGGAGAGCACTGTAGATATGAAATATGTAAAAAATATGAACAAAGAATGTCACAGGTGGGCTGGGGTTTGAGGTCGAAGCCTGTGCGGCCGCTTTCTAACGCGCGGCAAGAAAGTGAGAGTTCACGTCATCTTGCCCCCTTCGCCCCTTACCCCGATCACGCCTACAACTTATTTGGACAACACTTTCTCTGATTCGGTACTTTGGGCAACCGTTTCGGAAAGGGGAATATTCAGTACAGAACAGTACTTTAAAATGTTTTTAAACCACTAAAAACATAATATACATTAGTTAAACTTATTTGAAAATTATTATAACTATTATATAAATTAACGATACAACTTAAAAAAATGGTAATGGGGGTCTAGTAATACTTAGGTCTAATCTTGAGCTATAAGTGAAATTTACCCGTGGAGCATAGAGCGAACACATTTCTGTGTCCACTTCACTGAAAGGTTTTTTACAGGGTTGGTCAGACTTATGTGCCCAAAACAAATTGTTTCCCCTGGATAAGAACCCACCACTCACGCTTAACACAATGCTAGGCAACACCTATAACCATTTCAAATCTTAAGTACGGCCAATGATACACAGTGTCTAGACTAGAGATATTGATCCGAAACAATTTTTCATTGTGTACTATTAAATTCGAAGAATTATTTCACATATACGTTTATTAACAGTTAGTTAAAATTGTTCACTATCTTCTACGTTCTGAAAAATGTTAAAATAATAATCTATCGACACAAATCCTATATCGTTATCGTTGCATGCCTTAATCTCGTCTAACGAACGCTGACTAGCATAGCTTTGAGCCAAAATCGACCCATACTTCATACATACGTAAAATGTATATGTCATATGAGAGAAAATAAAAAGCGTATTGTTAGACTGAGATAGCCATTGTACCAATTTTTTTCTTTATCACTTTGTACTATATCTAACAAATGGTAACATTTTTTGTTCGTCCTCCTCTGTAGCTAAATGTTTAACGTGTTGCATTATACACTCCAGAGGTCCTCATATCCCAGGGGAAACTATAGATTGTTTCGATCGGGCAGGGCACAGTCTGACTAACGACTTGCCTGTATATACAACAATCAGTGCAACGGACACAGAAGTGTGTTTGCCCCATGCCCCGCGAGGAGAAACGTCCACAATTTTCCTTTAATCACACATATAGTACGGATTTGAAACGAAATATATATTTTTATTAATGTTCACTGTACCAAATAATCATGCTTATCTTCTTCAGATACTATAGTTGGATTCTAAGTTCCGACTAATTTAAATAAATCACTTTAAACTGTTTAAAAGAGGAAATATATTACTTTAATTTATTTAAGATTGAATAATTAGTCAAAATACCGTCCGTAGTTTACGTGAGTAACACATTTAAATGAAACACGTTGAAAGGCTTGATACGTGAAATATATTTGTTCGGGTTTTAAACCGTTAAAAGTGTTTTAAATGTCTTCTACTCGCATATCTACAGTGTTTCGACTAATCATTCGATTTTGTTGTGTATAGTCTATCAATGCGGATAAATGTGTCATCATAAAAGATAGTAATATAATATTGCGAACAGCGAGACTGTATTGGATTGGGTATTGTAGTTGGATCGCATAGTGCCCGACGCGGACGTCGTCAACGACCACTTTCTCCGATAAAAGTGAGAGCCGTCGCTGCGCGGCCCGGAAGTGAACGCTACCTGCGCCCGCGGAGCCCACTCGCGGTCCGTGTCTTTGTTTCGTTGCTTATTTGTCGGATCGTCTAGTTAGGCTCTCAGCTTGCATAACTAGGCTACTTCCTCAGTTCCTACGTTTTTCTTGAGGAAGCAGCGATTGATCGATTGAATTGCCTTACATTGCGTCATAGCTTTTTCCTGCGCGTGAGACTTCCCGTCTTGTGCCGAGCTGTAATATGTTGCGTCTGTTTCTATCACTTTCTCGAAACCTTTCGACTTGCTTTCAGGGTGTATTCGTGCCTTAAAAATTGTACTTAATATCCTAAGGTTTGTTACAGTGTTGTAATATACATATTATAATGTTGTCATTCTGTTGTCAAGCAATTTTTGTGTATAGCACTCGACCGAGAGACCTGTAAAGGTATTAAAATGTTTTTGTCGATTTATTGAAGTGGTACCGAGCAAAAAATTATATTAAAAATGTAATTACTTTATGATCTTTGCGTGACTTTAAACTGCATATTTGTTTGTAGAGTGGTTAACGATACGTTTATTTGTATACTTACTTTTCTATATATTTCTACCTAAGACGAAAAAACGTCATATACTAAGCAAAGGTCACTAGAGATATTTCATAATTCGCCATCAATTTAATTAATGACGTCGTCAAAGTATTATAAAAATAGTATCAGCAGTATAAATCATTTGTACCCGGGCCTACGAGATGCGATGTCGAAGGCTGTACGTACAGAGGGGGAGGGGGAGGCAAACTCGCGCCGCGCCGCGTGACCGACATCCGACGAACACGTGCTCATCTCTGCGAAACTTCAATTCTAACGTATGCCAGTAACAGGGGGAATAGGTACTCACAGTTGACGTTACGTGGAATATGTTCCAATTGATACTAAGAACTAGGTTGGGCCCTGCTGTCCCCACAAAATTTACGAAACGCGGTTACTACATCTGTTAAAAGTTTGTTGAAGGAAAATGCAGCTAAATAATTTTTGCTCCACTCTAAAATTAATTATTTGAAAACAACTTTTTTGAGTTAAAAAATAGTTTTAAAATACTAATTAATCGTTTGATACTTCTGTTGTTAGCTATTAATTTAAGTAGATCAGTAATTTCTTACTATACAGATGTCTTTAAATGCTCAAATGTGATGTAATATTTGCAAATGCGACATGCTCTTTATAAGTGAACGCTGAGCGAATATTCCTTTAAGACAGCAACGGCCTGACCCCTGCGGCCGGCAGCTAGCTGTTGTCGGCCGGCAGGGGGGAGCCTGAATGACCGGGCCCATGCCCTTGTTGTTGCAGGCAAGTCGGTGAACAGTAAGGATGTGCTCGAAGACAAGAAAGATGACAGCGAACTGTGGGAGGCGCAGGCGGCCTTCCTCGGGCCGAACCTGTGGGACAAGACACTCCCCTACGACCCAGATCTCAAGGTATAAGAGATTTGTACTCGGCACTAAGCCTATCTCGGTTTAAGTAGCGTTAAGGCTATGCGAAGGTGGCTAAGCGATGCAGCGTGTGGCGAATGTTTCTGAAGTGAGTCAAGCGCTGCTCGGCGTAACTGGTTTGGTGCGTGGTTTCAGTACGTGGACCTAGACGAGTTCCTGTCGGAGAATGGAATGCCAGGCGAGGCGCTGGGGGGCGGTGCGTTCGGGGCGGGGGCCGGCCTGGCTCTTGGCCTGCAGCCGCCGCTCACCAAGCGCGAACGCTCGCCGTCCCCGTCAGACTGCATGAGTCCAGATACCATCAACCCGCCGTTATCGCCCGCCGACTCCAGTGAGTGACTTGAAGATACTTTTCAGTTCCATCCTCACGTGCACTACGAAAAATCTCTTGTCCCTGAAATTCTTCGTGTCACGCCAATCCAATTACCAGAATTCACTGCACCATATTTTCTTAGTATACATTGTCTTGTGAATTAATAAATAAAGTTATCTGTCTGGTGATTTCAGCATTTTCAATGGCGTCCTCTGGTCGCGACTTCGACCCCCGGACGCGCGCATTCTCCGACGAGGAGCTCAAGCCGCAGCCCATGATCAAGAAGTCGCGGAAACAGGTAAATGATGTTAGTGCGCTGATCATTCCTAGCGGCATGCCACTGCCTCGCCACCCGGGAGCGGCTTCACTAACACACACACACACTTGACAAATATTCAAACAATATACGTCGTCCGTTTTATAAATGCAAGTATTATATGAAAAAATATTGCACTTTACTGGTACCTACATAACCACTGTTTGTGCCACAAACCACCCTCAAAGTGACTATGGTACTATGGTAAACCGAATTGAGAAGTTCGTTACCTCATTCGATTAGTGGAATATTCAGAACATCACTAAATTAAAGCTGTAAAAAAACAAATGGACAAAAATTCTATACTTTGTTGAACTGACAAGCGGTTGACTTCAATGTCAACCATTTTTAATTTTACACAAAACGCACACAGACAGAAAACAAAATACAACATCGCTTCTTAACGCTTAAGACTTACTAACGGTGACTGGTGGCTAGTTTATAGATATTTTCTGAATAGAATGCAAAGGCACTGCAGGTATATTAAATAAAAATCGATTTGAATTGAAAAAAATAACAAGAGATAAATATTTGAAAGTGGCTTTGCATTTTGTCAGACACTTGCATATTGATGCATGCATCTATGCTATCTTAAGAATTTAGTAAAAACAAATAATCTCTTCCCCTTTTCATTCATTTTTCTCTCTGATCTGACTTCTGGAACTGTTTCAAGAACTTTAAAAGTTCCGCTCTTAGAGAAAGAATATCCGTTTTCTTTAAAAATCAATGGAACATTTTGTCTTCGTAATAGGGTTTCTTTTTAAAACTTTACGTTAGTTATGAGACGTATTTATTATTTAAAATTATATCTTGAGGTAAAATTTTTGGCGCCCGTTCTTACGCATTTGTGACCAATATAACCGTAAACTTCAATATATATAGGTACCTATTTCATTTCTGAGAATCGAGATTTTTTTTAATATCGAGGGGGACAGATAAACTTGGGATCACTTGATGATAGGTGAAACACCCCATATAACATATAAAGAAGATGTGCTTTCGATCTATTTTGACTTTGGATATTCGGAAATCCACAGGCTGAAATCGAAACGCGATTACGCTTCCCGCCCTTTTTATCTGTCCATTTAATATCCAGATCCAGACGAATTGCAACATGTTTCAGAAAAATTATAAATTGGAAAATTTGATACAATGTTGGACCCAACGATCCCAACGTCCAACGACCCGTCGTTATAGCAATACATTGCTACCGTTAGACCAACGAGCCCGTCGAATGATATTGCGGTTATTTCTTCTAAAAGATATAATGTACATGAGTTAAGCAGATAGGTGGTGGATTTTGCACAGTTAACTAGACATACAACAGACGTATAAAAGATATATATTTGAAATAAAATATTGTACCATAGCTTCACTAACTGGTAATTAGAGTGCACAAAATATTAATTGTATTATTTATTATAACACTCTTGCGTTACTTACGCACTTTAATTAATTTGTAACACTTTGAATGCAGTAGTCCCAAAATACTAGTTAAATTTGTTTAAAAAAATATTTCTATTGTAATGCCATCTTCGTATTATTTAAATATGTGATATTTAATTTTGGATTCAAATTGTTATTTAATTAAATCTTTTATTTTTTAGTACTTAATTTTTTTAAATCGTTGCGTTCGACAAGTGTCTGGTTTGCCGAAATGGGCTTTAAAGAATAATACTCAGCGGCTTAACTTGAGCACTTGTATCGTGTAAGTACATAAAAATAAATTAGTTAACAAAACTAGACCAAAGCCTATCCTATATTTTAAGAGCAATTCGACGGTTTGGTCTGTACAGTATTTTGTAAGGAAAGAACTAAATCCTCATTTATTTTCCAGATGTTTTGTGATTGGTGTCTAAAAATATTTTCACCAGTACGTCCCTTATCTATCTAATTGGTAGAACATCATGGATGCTAAGGTTGTCGGTTCGAGTCCCTGCCGTATCACAGTTCAAATTGAACAAAACATGAACGCTTTCATGTGCTTTAATTGTGAAGATAATTTTTTAAATAAAAGAACATTTGACGGTTTCAAACTTGAAATATATTAGTTACTTGTTTATCATTTATTGTGTCTAGTGTCTGCCTTGTGTTACCCTTCGGATAAGATTTTTAAGTGTTACTTTGAGAACGGCGATTTTGCTAGGCGCTACGAGTTCCAATGAGGAATAGTCGGGTTACTTTTCAAAACAAATACCAAAATCGATTTTTAAAAAAGTACCTAAATAATTTTTAAAATCTTTTTTGTCAGAGGAGGACAGAAAAGCCACATAACATCTAAACAAGACGCGCTGTCGGCCTATTTAGGTTTCGGATATTGGGAAATACGCAAACTGAAACCGACACGCGATTAAACTTCACGGCTTTTATCTGTGGACGCTGGTTTGTGACCCGGACGGCATGCCGATGTTCCCCATTTAATGTCCAGGATTTCAGACGAAGTCCAACATGTTTCAGAAAAATTAAAAATTAGAAATATCATCGGTGGAAATCGAACCCTCGACCCGTTTATTTAGCCATACATCGCAATTATAACACCAACGAGTCCGTCAGAATCTTCGACAGTTAAAACTTCTTTAAAAGCATACTTTTCCAACACAAAATTGGTTGTAACTTCAGTCATACGAGTAGAATGAAATTTTTACTAAATATGCCCGTCCTGTTTAGTATTAAAGGACAAGTTATTTTAAAAGCTTACTTTGTAACTAAGTGGTTTTAAATTAGGTCTCTGTTGAAGTTAGTTTTAATTGCATATACAAAATTAGCTCTGAAAATAAAATAAAAATGTGACCGTTACATATAATATTTGTACATTTATGTCTTACATGTTATAATGTAAAGTTATAGAAGATAAGAATGGTCTACGCACCTGTCGTTGGTTCTAGTGCAACCTTTTTTTTAATAAATACCTTAAATATTAATAATCTTAGCAACAACTAATGTCTTCCATTGATTTTTAAATATACTCCGTATTACCCAGCATTGGAAAACGTCTCCGTCCAGCATCAAAGTTCCCCATTTTATATATAACAGTGTAAAAGTTCCATTAAAAAGTGCTCTTCACGATTCAAACGAAACCGAATGGTGCATTATAGTTTGTCCCGGATGACCTCAAAGACGACAAGTACTGGGCACGCAGACGGAAGAACAACATGGCCGCCAAAAGATCAAGAGATGCACGCCGCATGAAAGAAAACCAGATCGCGCTCCGAGCTGGCTATCTGGAGAAAGAGGTATGAGGGAGGTCTATTCGATTCCCTGGTGATATGAAAACATTGTATCATCGGTGGGAGAAGGATTAAATCAGGAGAACTAATATTATCCCCATACTAGTACGCGATAGAAGTGTGTAACAATGACAATATTTATATATCAAGCTATTTAGATTTTAACCATTATATTTGGGCGTTCTACTGGAACGTATCCAAAATAAATAAATTAGGCATTTACACCTCAATCTATCGGGCATATACATTTTATCCTTTAATTTATTTGACCATACAATTTACAATTAATATTTTACAAATAATTTTAAAAATAAATTGTGATATAATTTGCAGAACATGGGCCTGCGACAAGAAGTGGAGCTGCTAAAAAAAGAGAACCACATCCTGCGCGAAAAGCTATCGAAGTACGCAGATGTGTAGGCGGCCGTGAGATCCGCACAATACACGCAACACCATGTAGGTTTCTACTTGTTATTGTTAAAACAGCCCTTGATTTTCGTAATTAATAAAATGCTTTGGTATCTTGTGTCTGGATTTCAATGGTACTTGTATTCGTGTCCGCAGGTGAGAAGCGCCGCCGCCCGCCCTCGGCTCCCCGCCCACCGGGACCTCTTGCCCGTCGGTCGGCCACGTCGCGTGGCGCGCTCGGCCCGTATTACTGGACCCGCCTCGAGCGAGCGATCGAACCGATCTCAAGACAGCGACTAAACCCGGGAGGCTTCTCCATCGCCCGAGAGCGGTCCACTACTGCGGGCCCGAGCCGACCTCTGATGTTTCCCAGTTTATGTTCAATGTTAATATTGTTAAGAATCGTTATACAGTTACCATAAGTTAATGTAGCGTAGGTGATAACCAAAGTTCCCAGCTGTTTTGTATCGGCACGCGACGCGGACGGCGGCGGCGCATTGCTCAAGTGGCGTCACGCAAGCGTAGCGGCTGCGTCTGTACAGAGATGGCGGTAGCAGTGGCCCCACAACGAAGCCTCGCGCTCGCGTCGACGAAGCGAATATTTTAGAGGATATTTTGAAAAGACTTATTTATAACGATTGTAGTAGGGGTCTGCCTGGCCAAGTAGCGGACTCGCGGCACGTGGCGGGCGCCTCCCCTCCCGCGCGCTCCGACCCCGTCCGTCTGTCCCCTCGGAGTGCCGCACGCCCCGCTCCCCGCGCCCCGCGCCCACCCGCTTTCTAACCGCTCCCGGCGCCGTTGAGATTAGCCGCGCGACGCTGCGGTCGTTTTAGTAATCGTAGCAATAGTGAGTAAGTAGGCCGGTAGGTAGTGTTATTAGCGTAGTTGTTATTAGAATATTTTTGTTATGGCTGTAGTCGTTAACGTTTCGAAAGTTTATATAATATTATTATTATTGTAATTCGGTTTAGTTGTAAAGCCGCGGCTAGCGCCCACTGCACGACCGCATCTCCGCACTCTATACAACTCTCGCTAATCTTATTATATATATTATATTTTTGTAGATTTTTGTCGTTGATAAATATGAGTCAATTGTATGTTTATTGAATCGATAAAATTAATGTTTATGAAGTTAAGACTAAGAAGTTGTTGCATTTGAAAGTATTTTATGACTTGGAGCGAGGACAATCGAATGATTTTTATAAATGTTTACATGAAATGTATTGTATACTCGGTCGCGCTCAAAGCGCGGTCGAAGCGGCGAGGCGTCGGACACCGGCGCGCGCGCACCGCGCCTCCGCACCGCGCTCCGTGACATTTGATATTTCCATTTGTTCGTTGAACCTATTAATACTGTATACATTAAATTATTATCCAGATATTATCATGTACGATACTTTTATAAACATAATGTTATATGAAGGTTTTACCAGACAATTGTAATAAAGTGTATAAATAAAGGTAAACGGTGTAATGTGTCGCGTATAGGAGGAGTCGAGTGTACGACCTATATTTATTTAGTTGTGATTCGCAAATATTCGCCTTCTGTGTAACACATTCGCGCAGGGCCCGACTGTCCCCAGTCGCGTCCGCCCGACGCAAACCATATTCATGTACGAGTAGTATTTGTTTTATTTAATTTATATGGTTCTATGGATTAAAATAAACGTTAATTGTTGTATTCGTGTATCTCATTGCCCTTTATCGCGATAGAGCTGGACAGTGGGACGTGGGGTCCCTACGCTTGTCCGTCCAGCAAAATCAGAACTGTTAAAGTCAAAACTGCCACGCTGGCGCCATCTGTTTCGTCTTGTGGAAAAATATCAACTACGACGAAAGTGGTGGATGTTGAAAGTGTTTTGTTTAAATGTGTTCTACTCGAAGGTAAAATACCAGCTGGTATTCGAAGATTAACAGATTGAAACAGAACCGTTTTCAGCTGTGGACGGTGGTTCGTGACTCGGACGGAATTTCGGGATTCCTACCATTCTTTATTATCCAGATTTCCTGACGAAATCCATCATGTTACAGAAATATTAAATCAATAATTAGAACCATTTTGAACTCGGTGGAAATAGAACCCACGACCCGTTTTAGCCATACTTCACTTGTTGTTAAGCCAACGAACCCATCAATGCCTTTGTGCTAAATGCCAACCCAGGTGCAGCGGACTAACGATCTCATATACAGAGAGAGGGCTGTAAAACGTTTCAAATTAATTTTGACCGTACATTATATTTAAATAAAACACTAACAGTTTAAAACGCGATATAAATGAGTTAAACTTATTTGGATTATTAAGTATGGCCCGACGTTTCGGATGCTTTGCAGCAGCCATGGTAAAGGGGAGACTAAAGCTGAAGGGTGTCTCTGACGTCAAGGTAAAACTGCTACGGTGGCGCCATCTGTTACGTCGAAATTGGTATTTGACTAATCGTCTCTTCGCGTTTGCCGCAATTGCGAATCCAGAGTTTTTTTAATATGAAATCCCAGGTGGTATATGAGACACGGCTGTCGTCCTTATTGAAATGTTTGTGTCGTACATTTTACTTATTCCAAACTCAAATTCGGCCGATTGTGATGAAGTTAGTCAAATGTGCTCGGTACCTATCTAGTATTACATTAAAAGTTGACGGCAAGGTATTACGTAACAATCAATTTAGATATATAAATAAATTATTTTTAACTCCCCCCTCGCCCCTATGACGGGTGCTGCATTTCATCTAAAACGTCAGGCCATGGTAAAATAAATTGTAAATAAGTAATTTAAATCGCATTTTAAACCTTTAAGTGTTTAAATAAAACACTTTAACGGTCTAAAACGCGATATATTAGTTAAACTTATTTGGAAATGATTATAAACTTCGGCCCGACGTTTCGGATGCTTTAAAAATCATTGCCGAAGTTAAAAATAATTTCCAACTAAGTTTAACTAATATATCGCGTTTTAAACCGTTAAAGTGTTTTATTTAAATGTGTACTACTGGCGTAAACTTTAAGTGTTGTATCCATATATTTGTGTGCGTGTTAGTACTACAATAAAAACGATACGGTATATTAATAAAATTTATTTAATAAAATAACAATAATATAGCAAACATTGTATATAGAGGGAATATGCATGATACATGTGGTTCAAGACTATTTTTCTAAAATTAATTTATAAATTAAATTAACAGTTTATCGAAGAATTTAAAAACTCTATCTTTGATCATAGCTTAAACAATTCCTTTGTTTATTAATTACCTGCCATTCTTGTGTTTTATTGAGGAAAAATACTCTTTATTAGAGTTATTAAATTAAGATACAAATGCACATATACACTTCTTCAGCGTTAACAATAAGGACATTAAAATATATAATAATACCAGAGACATGATACTAAGAGTCGTACTCAAAATAGATACATTGATTCTTCGTCCATTTTCCTAGAGGAAAAACACCAATAAATAAACGAAAAGTGTTATAATAGCAAGTTTATCTCTCCTCTTTCTCGCCTACAGCCGGAAGACTGTACCACAATTGGTGGGAACACCAATTGTGGTACCGACTTCGTAGTAGAACCAAACACGTAGAACCGTGTTTCTTGTATATACTAATATTTCATGAATATATAATGGCGCTTCATGTGGAAGGAAAAGAAAGACAATGTGAAAATCTTTGGTAACAAATACTTAGATTTAAATAAAACACTTTAACGGTTTAAAACGCGATATATTAGTTAAACTTATTTGAAAACGATTTTTAACTTCGGCGCGACGTTTCGGATGCTTTGCAGCAGCCGTGGTCACGGGGAGACTAAAGATGGAGGATGTCTCTGACGTCAAAGTAAAAATTTGCTACGCTAGCGCCATCTGTTCCGTCGAAGTTGGTATTTGGCGAAACTGGCCGGGTCCTTACATAATTGACTAACGGTGTCTTCGCGTTTGCCGGTATGCTGTTTATTGGGATCCAAACTCTGGATCTAAATGTGTACTACTCGCATAAACTATAGACAGTATTTAAATACTTAGATACTAAATATTTCTTAATTTATAATTGGTTTCCTTTTTTTTAAATTGACTGGTCGTGAGATGTGTTATATTAACAAAAATTCAAACTTTGAACACTATCGGTGCATTGTAACCCAACCATGTTCATGAGTCACTTGACTTTTACACCATCATATTATATAACACAGCAAAAATTTTAAGAGATTACAAATGTATGTTCTATTAGCTCCTACAACTAACCAGGGCCCCAAGACTGTTATTAAAAAAACTTATAGCACAAGAATTTATTTAACGAAAATAACAATAATAATAATAATAATAAAACACTTTATTGCACAAACAAATAAAATACAAATATAGTAAAACTAAAATAATTATTTACATAAAAGAGTTAGTGCAAAGGCGGCCTTATCGCCTATGGCGATTTCTTCCAGGCAACGTTTGTATAAGAAAATGAGGGTAAGGGTTCTGAAATGTATATTTCAATCGTAATTAAAAGCGGACTAACGGGCTGTTATAGTTTTTAAATACAATTTATACGTTTCCAACTAAAGAAATAACAGACTTGGGACCCAGATTTCTGTGCGCCCCGCTGGTGGTCAAAATTTGGCTCTAGAAAAGTGGGACGGATACCTACGCGGGTGATCAATTTCCAATATACTATCTAGATATTATCTATCAGGAGGCACATTATAAAGGCTAATTAAAATAAGGAGGACATATCAATAATTAATTGATGACCTCATTCTCGTACGCCTATTTCCATCACAACAATTTATATTAATTATCGACTGAGTTGGTTCTTCACAATAATGACAATACATTGCAGGTTTTGCTTACTACAAAAACTTATGCGCAAGAGTTGAATTTTTACTATGAAAGAAAAAATAATGTATAATGCAACGTTTTTAAAATCTTGAGCTACTTATAACGTTAGTATATATATATACATAAAAATATATATTAAATACATATCTGTGTAACTATAATCAGAAGCGTAGCTAGGTGGACGAGGGCACAGGAGCATAAAGAACCGGGCCCTATCAACTCTTTACGCGTTTCAACTTATATAAGCATCCAAAATTATAGATAAGAACAAGAACAGTTCATAAAAAAAACTTTTTCTTATGACGTTAGGATCCCTAAGCTCAGGGCCCTGGGGCCCTGCGGCCCCCACCACTTGGCCTAACGATAGCTACGCCACTAGATATAATACAAACGAACAAAGTAATCAAAGCATGAGTATTTGAACTTAAATAATAATATATTTACGTAAAATATAACAAACTTACAAAACTTCAATAACTACAATACTTACACTTACTATTTCGTTTTTTATTGATAATGAACACAGAGTATTGCGCCTTCCTATTTGTGGGTTTACATAAGAATTCATTCAATCAACAAAGATCCTAATTGTCCTTGTAAAGATCCCGTTGGTATTTGGAAAATGTAAGCTCAAGCATTCTACTATACCCTAACTTAATAGTGGCAGCAGCTTATCATTCAGTTTGCTGTGGCGCGAAGGAGCGTACGATGCTGGTAAGCGCTGTGTAAGTTCCAGCAACCAGTGCCAGCATTCCAATCGCTCCAAGAGCCACATCCTTTAATAGCACCAAGTAAACAACACGTGAACCAGTTCCACGCCTCCCCCACCATAAGCAAGCTTCCATCAGCGCTGGGAAGCAGATACCGAGGGCTGAGAGGCACAAAGCACCAAACAACGAGATGAATAGGCCCAATCTTGGAATTGACACCGCTAGCACGACTGAAATAAAAGTACCGCTATCAAAGAAGTATCGCACGAAAAATGCATATATGAATAGTGATATTGTGTAACTAGCTGACTGAGTTCCTTTGTTATATGAAGTACTAGTTATGCCCGTAACTTCGTCTGTGTAGAATAGTTATTTTAGTGATCTATATTTATTTTTGCAATATTTATACATCATAGCTGTTACCCACGACGTCAGACACGTCCCGTCGCGTCGTTATGTCGAGTTAATCTTAAACGGTGCACTAACGGACTAAGACATATACTAACGGGGACATTTTTGTGGATCATTTAGAGAGAAATCATTCTTTCATTTACATATCCGACCAATACAAAAGGAATTTTCAAATTCGCAGCATTCGTGCAGCATACATATAGACATATAGGCATAGCACACATATAGGCTCATATAGACAATAAAATTAAATATTCTCAAAAAATTTTACCAATTAATGTAAGGAGATACAATTTTTTTATATACGGCAACACAGGTCTTTTCGTCGGAATATCAGTAGCCCCCAGCGTTTCGGGTATCAATTCTTACTAAATATATAATTGTTATCACCCCCCTTTTCACAAGTTTCTGTCACTGTAGCCCGTTCTTTACTATAAGGTACATTATTTGTTGTTTCAATACTAAGGGATACTCACATGTCAAGAGGCAAAGAGCGACGCGTAGGCCATATTCCGCCAAACGAGTTCGAGATGGCGACACTGAGGCTTTCTCCAATCGTGGCAACAGGTAGCCGCGCCAAACCACTTCCACGGGCACGTAACAATGCAAACCGTAGCTGATGAAAATTGCCACTGCGAACATCACTATGACACTCGCCGACAACCTGACAACAATTGACGATCGCGTTTTTATATAATAGATGAGAACAGACAAGCATGGGTTCGCTGGTGAAACACCCCTTATAACATTTTGACTAGTTGCGCCGTCAACCCATTTTGGCTTTGGATATTTGAAAACCCACAAATTGAAATCGAAACGCGATTAAATATCACGTACTTCATAAGGAGATTCGTTTTTGAACATCCGAAGCCAAAAAGTTGGACATCCTAATTACATACTGGCCTTAGTTTACGCGTGCAATTTAAATAAAACACTTTAAGCCAAAGACACTCTCTTGACATTAAAGACACCTTTAAATAAAACACTTAACGGTTTAAAACGCGATGTATTAGTTAAACTTATTTCAATTTTTTTTTAACTTCGGCCCGATGTTTCTGATGCTTCGCAGCAGCTGTGTTGACGGGTAGATCTCCCGTGACCCGTTAAACCATTAAAGTGTTTTATTTAAATGTGTACTACTCGGGTTAACTATATATATAGTAGTAGTATTTAATTAGAGCACCCGAAACGCCGCGCCTGCGCCGTAGTTAAAATAATGTTAAAATAAATTCAATATATATCACGTTTTAAACCGATAAAGTGTTTCATTTAAACATCCTTAATACATTTTTTATTATATAGAATAATGTACTAACGGTCCCTTGGGTAGATCCAGGGTGATGGAGTCACTGCAGTCAGAGACACAAAATAGGTAGCCAAGCACGCCCAGGGCAACATACAAAAGCACGATGAGCAACATGGCTATGTCCAAGACGCCACACGTTTGTACAAAACTTTTTGGTGTCTTCATGTTGTTCTCCACAGCTATCACCTAAAACAAGGAACTAGACATGGTGGCTCAATTCGTTACAGCAGCAGCACGGAATGCTGTGGATGCTCAGCTCAAGTTCCCGTGTCTGAGCTTATCCCTTTAAAATATGATGAGCTATGCTGATATATTTTCTCTCAGAAGACAACAGATGGCTTATCATCTACCATAATATAATTTAATAAGAGTTTCAAAGTTAATTATTGAAAACCCTATCCTTACAGATGGCGCTAGCAGAGCAGTTTTTACTTTGACATTAGAGCCACTCATTTTTAGTCACCCAGTGACCACGTATAGGCATCCGTTGCGTCGGGTCGTAGTAGATTGTAAATACGTTTAATATATTGTAATTAGCCGGTTACTTACGACTCCAACGGCAGTAAGAGCGAACAGTATAGTCCCGAAGAAGAGAGGAAATGTGTGCGGAGAGCCCCAGAGATCCAGTGGCTTCGAAGACTTTTCGCCTGACAGCAGGAAGTATACCGTGATGCCTATACCCACGAAGATGAGAACGTTAGCCAGCGCAGAGAACGGTGCTAAAATCTTCAGGTTCGGTATCAAGTTGAACGCGATCAACGGCAACAAGATAAATAACATATGCATCTCCACAGAAACTTCTAGAACTGGATCGATTACCTGTAGAATAAGTGTCATCTGTAGTTTAGTGTACATTCAAATAAAACACAATTAACGGTTTTAAATGCGAAATTTATTTTTTTATTTAAGTTACGGCTCGAAATTTCCGATGCTTTTCTTCTCTCGTCTTCTTTTAGAGCACTAATATAATATTTATTTTTCAGTATCAGTTTTGTTGTTTGGTTACATTTTTATTAGTTTTAATTATTATTTACTTTGTACGATTAAACTTTATCTGCATGTCGTGTCTACATATTTATAAGCTTAATTTTTAAGATTTTTTACTTGTATAAAGCCATTTATATCATGTCTATATATTAAAGCTTAGTTTTGTAGACCTTTTAAATAAAAAATAAAAAAAAAATATTGAGACGGACCACTAATAGATAATATTATTATTTATTTTCAGTCTTGTCAGTTACAAATAATTATTAAAATGATGATAGCTATGTTTTAAAACCTTTTATATTTCACATGTTATTTTACAAAATGGCATTGTATAGATTAAAAATTCATTTACTTTGAAAGGAATAGATTGCGCGCGTGGTACTTGAACTGGTGTCCACAGTTTGTTTAATCCAAATAGATTTTATTTTATACAATGCCATTATGTGCAATATCTTTTTAGCTATGTATGTATATAGATGAAAAAATGGACGAGCTTTGACCGCTTAGGAATTTCCTTAACTGTTAAGTACCAATTGAGTGAGCGCAATCATCTATTGATAGTCGTCTCTACAACTGTTCTCTAGCGACACTTAGTTTCAAATTATATTGGTATATACAGATTTCCAGACGGAATCCAACGTGTTTTAGAAAAATTATCAATTGATTAGAAACATATTTAAATAAAACACTTTAACGGTTTAAAACGCGATATATTAGTTAAATGTGTACTACTCGCGTAAACTATAGACAGTATTTAGAAACATATTGATCACGTAGCGATCGAATCTACGACCTGTTGATTATTAGCCATGCATCGCTAACAGTAGACCGCCGAGCCGCCATTTTTACTTAGTGTTCTTGTTTTTTCAAATTAAGAACTTTAAGCGCGTCGTATACTATTCTCACATTTTGACGGTTTGAATTGAATAGATTGTATGTATCGGAAAATTGTGTCGTTACAAATTGCATCATCAAGCATGGACTTATAATGTAGAAGATTTCTCCCTTGAAATAAATAAACTATCCAGTATCAATAACATTAATTGCGATCGTATTTCGCAAGCAATAACTGCCCTTCACTGTCAATTTATATAACAAATGACGATTTAATATGCAAAGCTTCGTAACAATAAAAATGTACCATCACACATTATTAACATGTAAGAAGAAGCATGTAGCTTTGTCACAGTTATTAAATTATTTACATAAAGGTAAGCTTACGCGTATATTAGGTATACCTTAAATGAAATGCATGCTACCAATGTTAAGCAATAATTAAATTATAGAACTAGATGATATATACATTTTTACTTTAAATAATTGGTCAATAAAATATATTTTTGAAGTGAATACTTCTGTAGCGGTGTTGTATGTAAAAGTTCACGAATAAGAGAAAAAAATAATATGGGTGAAATTTTTACACGCGACATAAATAATTCACTTTTATACTGTTGATTAAACCAATACGTTTAAAAACTTTAATGCTTTTTACATGTTTACATGATGGCACTATATAGATTAAAACAGAAAAAAAAATAAAAAAAAAATTCGTCTCGGACAGAACGTGAGCCGGCATCGTCAGCATTCGGTGCTGTTGCTAGAGGAATGACGATGCCGGTTCAAGTCCAAGCCCGAGTTGTTCATTTTTCCATTTAATTTCAATTTTTAATCTTAACCAATACGTAAAATACCACTACCACTACTAGTACAAAATAAAAAAACTGAACAACGGTAATATTTAAAATTTCACTTCTTCCCATTACCCGTATTTTTTAAAGCTCTATCTTTACAAAATCCATTTACACCTCACCTTTTTCAAGTTATCCGCAATAAAGACGATATACACACAGCAGATGCCGAGCTGGTAGACCACCAGAAAGAGATCCACGGTCAAAGCTGCAGGTCTTGCAAGACCTGCCAGTACACGAGGACCCTGCTGAAGTGCTGCTGCGGCCGCCTCCGGGTACGGCAGCTGGGGCACTCGTCGTGAACGGCAAACAGCGTACTGCGCCCGTACCAGGACGCGCAGGCAGTGAGTCACCAGTAATCCACCGATTACAGTGCCGAGTATGCCGGGAATCAAACCGGCACGGGCGAACGCCTGCGGCATGGCCAGGATCCCAGTACCCAGGCTACATTTGAGCAAGTGTACGAGCGTTTCTAGGTTGCTGTTGATAAGAAGACAGCATCTATACTTCTATACTAATATATAAAGCTGAAGAATTTGTTTGTTTGTATGTTTGAAAGCGCGAATCTCAGGAACTGCTAAGTTGCATTGAAACTTTATTTTCGTGTTGCTTAGAAAAGTTACGTGCGCTGCGAAAACAGTTTAATGTACCCAAATAAAATATGTATGAAAAAATTATTCCTCTTGCCCAAAGGATGCCCAAAATAACGACGAAGTCGCTGACACAGCTAGTAATTTATATAGATGAAGAGCTTTTCAAAAACAAAGTTTTATCGCTCAAGTCTCACTCTAGTGAAATTAAAAAATATTTGTTGTAAAAATAAAAAAAAAATATCTTCAAAATACTCTGAATCAACTTACTTAGTTGGGTTGGCGAGTTGCCGATGCAGGTGTGGGTCGTAGTCGTCATCTTCCGGCTGGTCTCTATGGCAACAGGCATACTTATATGTACTTATACGTATTATGTCAAACGAGCTCATAAATATGTCACAGTAACATCATAACAATTGAAAACTGGACTCCATGGTGATACCCTCAACACATCAGCATTATTAAAACGTGACGGCCTATTAATAATTCTAATAATTGATTGCCTCATATATTCTGCGGGAAGATCTTTAGGATAAGTATTGTCTGTAGTTTACGAGAGTATCACACATTATAATAAAACCCGTTTACGTGACAACGCGAAATACGTCGGGCTGTATTGAAATTACATTAATAAGATTACTTGACATTAACTTACCAATATTTAAATGTTGTACTACACGCGTAAATAGACAATACCTAATGATTCTTAATTATAAATCAAAAAGTTTAGTTAGTTAATTGGAAAAAGTCTAAATCGATACGAAAAGGATACAAGAATCCATGAAATGACATAAAAGAGTAAGTTTTCATAAAATATAATACCGTGTATAAGACAACGTCTATTAAAGATGGCGTGTACAGAAGATTTATGAAAAATATCTCCCCCTGACCACGGCTGCTACAAAACATCCATTGGCCCGTAGTTAATAATTTTCAAATAAGTTTAACGAATATATATCGCGTTTTAAACCGTTAAAGTGATTTATTTTAATTAGATCTATAATTATTTAGATTTCATCTCTGTTCACTTTAACAGTATTTAGACAATATTACCAGCGAGTATTTGGCGTTTTATTCCGGTAAAAATTGTTTATACATATTTTGTCGTATACTCACGAGTTACGAGCAAGAGCTGGGGGGAGAACGGGCGAATCCGTATCGGAGACAGCTTGGAGTTGAACGTGCTCCCCTTTTTCCTCCATCGTTAACGCTGGCACAAATCTGTAATAAATAGAAATACTGTTAACCGGGCGCGACAGCGTTCCAAATAATGTCTCGCGTATTCTATGTTATTGTTAAAAATAGCTGTCTTTCGCAAATACATATTTTTAACAACGATCGCTCGCGCACGGTTCCCGAACATCGCCTCGTCATTATGATTAACGGGGACCTCGCTCCGGGTGACGTTACGACACTCCCACGGCGCCAATCAGTTCAAGTCTTACCGGACTTAGTGGTGCGGTGAAGGGGGGGGGGGCGTAGTTCCTCTGGGAATTTTTTACATCTCTCGCGGTGCCTTAGTGCCACTCGGACGAGCGCCGCTGCTCTACTGGGCTGAATTGATAGCCCTTGCTTCAAGTAGGCGTCGTCGGGACGTCAGCGGCCTTTGCGACCTTAACAATTGATTGATCATACTCATTGAATGTTTCCGCTCTTCGATATCACAGTTATATATATCATCGCTGATATAAAAGGGAACATCCTACTATCCTATTAGTTTAACGGTTTAAAACGCGATATATTAGTTAAACTTATTTGAAACTGATTTTAAACTTCGGCCCGACGTTTCGGATGCTTTGCAGCAGCCGAGGTCACGGGGAGACTGCTGCTGAAAAGCATCCGAAACGTCGGGCCGAAGTTAAAAATCAGTTTCAAATAAGTTTAACTAATATATCGCGTTTTAAACCGTTAAAGTGTTTTATTTAAATGTGTACTACTCGCGTAAACGACCTATTGTGATAAATTCCAAGCTTTTACTAGAAATAATACACATTTTTAGTATCCAAAGTGAAGACCCAGATCGTGTATAAGATATACTCCTGAAGTATTTATTTTGAGCTCCCTGTTTTAACGCTTCCATTGGGTCCAGGTTTATTAAACAGGCATTATCTAAACAAGATGCACTCTCCACCTGCATTGAATTTTGATATCCGGAAATCCAGACTGAAATCCAAACGCCATAGAACTTCACGGCTTTTTCATGTGTGAACGGTGGTTCGTGACCCCGACGGAATTTCGGTATTCTCACCAATTTAATATACCAGATATACCAGACGAAGTCCAACGCGTTCCAAAAACATTATAAATTGTTTTGAAAATATTTGGACGCGGTGGAGAACGAACTGACGGCCCGTTGCTTATTAACCATCCATTGCGACCAATGAGCCCGTCACAGCATGGTTTATAAAAAATTCTACGTCAAACATCGAACTGTTAAACAAAATGTTGAATTTAACTAAGTAAAAACAAAGAAGGAGCGAGCGAGGCCATTCGTAATTTCGTACCTGTCTAGCGTCTAGCGTGTATCGATCGCGAACACGGTACCGTACACTCATCCACACTCAGCTCCTGGTCATTGGACCTCACCCACCTTTGTGACGTGTAAAGAACAATTGAATAGCAAGTATCCCTTATAATACAATCGGCCATACAAGCTAGTGACGTCACATGTTTTTTGCGCGGATTTCCCGAAAACATATTACTTGGTATCGTAAACTAGGTCGCGTCGGCGCGGGACACCGCCGCGTCTCTGCCGACCGTTTGACGACTGCAGCAAATAGCATAAAATGGGTGGATGGTACGTGGATTCCGACAACGAGATAATCACGAAGTGTACCGTATATTGTTTCCTGAAATAGTATCGGTTGGGGAAAATGCGGTCGCTCCGATACTAAATTTATTTCAAAGTTTGAAGATAGAAATGGTTAGACAAGCGTGGGGTTACCTTGGTTGAAGGTGTAATACCCCAGAGATATAATATCTCGAGAAGGTACGCCTACCTACTTACTTGGTAGAACAGGAACAGGGAATTCTGTAGTACTAACACTAGTATTTACAATATAAATTAAATTTTATTTATTTACAAAACTCGAAGGTTAACATAGTGCATTATTATTATTTAGAAATGGTTAGGGAAAAACAAATTTACGAATTGCTCAAATATTTATAATCTTTATACCTAGTAGCTATCGCCCAAGGGAGAAACTTTCTTTTGCCATCCTACTAATATAATAAATGTGAAAGTTTGTATGTGTGGATGGATGGATGTTTGTTACTCTTTCACGCAGAAACTACCGAATGGATTTCAATTAAACTTTCCAATAATATAGCTTCTACATCAGAATAAAACATAGGCGCTACAATTTATAAAGATATTGTGTGAGCTGTCCAAAATATGACATTAAGTGTCAAGTAACTAGGAAAAAACCTACCCTTCTGCGAGCTATTCTGGCGTGCGCTGCCATAAAAGTTACATATAATTATGTAATGTATGATGTGATAGACATCATTTAGTTTAAATGCGCGATACTACGTAATCCTAATCCTAATCCTGCGTAGACGAAGTCGCGGGCACCAGCTAGTATGAAATATTTCGAAAAAAATAGATTACCATAAGAACGGTTTCTGTGGGTTAATCTTGAAAGATTGAAGATCAAGGATCGCGAACATTTTTTTTAAGATTATTAAAAGAAGTATTTTTGTTTCTTGGAAAACAATTATTCTTAAATAATACCCTCTATTTTTCTCCGTTTATTCACAGCTCCCACAGTTTCTTTGCTCCTATTGATCGCAGCCTGATGTTTTATAGCTGAAAGCCTTCTTCAATAAACGATCTAACCAACATAAACATTGATCAATTCGAACCAATCCTGAGATTAGCGCGTTCAAACAAACTTTTCAGTTTTTATTAATATTGCAAGTACTATTATATGGTAAAATTCAGTTATTAATTGTGCTAGCTGTAACTTAAAATAAGTAGTCGATAAAGAAAAAACTAAATTTTTAAATAAAAGTATATTTCTGACGACAAAATGCGATCTATAAACATAATAAGTTGACAATTACTTGAAAGAGCGGACGATTCCCAAAATGGCGGTGTAAGTCCCCGCTACTAGTCCAATTAGACCCAATATAAATAGTACCGTGTCTTTGAAAAGCATGAGAGACCTCGATGACCCCTTCTCTCGTCTCCACCATAGGCACGCTTCCATGAGTGCCGGGAAGCAAAAACCCAGCGCTGACAAGCACAGCGCACCGAACAAGGAGATGAACAAACCCAATCTTGGCACCAATACTGCTACGACAACTGTACAAACGTGTGTATTTTACAAAAGGATATTCTATACAATGGCATATTTTATGTTTCTTTTAATGTTTAAGGTGATATATCCCATGTCACTGTGTGCTATCGACCAACTTTGGCCCGTTGATTAATAGCGCATATTGCATTAATTTCGCTTGTTAAGTAATATTTAGTGATTTATTTAAAAATTATTAATAAAAAATGTGTGACACTGGCGGGATTTGAATCGGCACCCACAGCGTGTATCTACTATCAATCGAAATAGATCTTTAATTGCTTCCTTGTGTACTAAAAACGAGGTCTCTTACAGGTCAGGATACCGAGGCACACCCGCAACGAGTACTCAGCGATGCGCAAGCGCGTGTTCGACGCTGACGCCCTCTGTAGACGAGGCAGCAGATACTCATTCCATATCATGTCTACCGGCACGTAGCAATGCAGACCGTAGCTTATGAATATCGCGTAGCCGTATAGAATTATAGCGACTGTTGTCGCCCTGGAGAGAAAAATGTAGAAGTATTTTTATCATACACACATACGACCATCAAGTTTGCCAATAAATAAATCACTTTTAACCGTTTAAATTAAAATTCATACACATATAGGTAGCTCTGAACATCAATACAGTTAAAAATTAAAACCCTAACATTTACTACTAGTTCCCAAATTAAGGGCGTAGAACGAACAAATAAAAAACGCGATATATATTAGTTTAGTTAAAAAGCTGCAAAGCATCTGGAACATCGGGTCATGGTACAAATTATATAGCGTTTTTAAACCATTAAAAGCGCTATATAACTTGTATCGTTCTTGTCCAGCCCGTGGAATAGTAGTTCATTTCGCAAAGCTTGAACTTTTATCTTTTCTTGTCTTTAATGCACAACTCTCTTACGGGCCTCTAGGTAGATCTAGGGTGATGACGTCACTGCAATCCGACACGCAGTACAGGTAGCCCACATAACCGACAGCAATGAACAGCACTGTCACGAAAGACATTCCTATGTGTAACACACCGCAGGGCCGCCCGAAAGACTTGGGGGTCTTCATATTGTTCTCTACAGTCACCACCTGGAAAAATGTGTATAGGTGTGGGTGTATAGGGGGAGGGTATACAATATATTTCGCGTTTTAAACCGTTAAAATATATGTTTAAAAATCGCGTGAACTCACATAATCTGATTTTTTTTTATTTTAATACAAAATACGCGAAACGTTTACATGTATATACACATTTCAAATCTATATGGTTTTATTCCACACCGACATTATAATATTTATAATAATACATAAATTATACGATTATTAAAATAAAAAACAAACATACACACATACATTCCCAGTTAACAAATTATAGTCTATAAATTAACTGAATACAGTGAACAGTGAATAAAAACTTATAAGATCAATAATAGGCACATTTTTTTAACTCACCACTCCAACAGCCGTCAGCGCAAAAACAATAGTGCCGAAGAACAGGGGGAATGTCGCAAACGACCCCCAGAGGTCCAAGGGCTTGGTGGACCGTTCCATGGTGAGTAAATAGTACACGACGATGGACAGGCTCACTATGGTCGCGAGGTTTGCTACTCCGGAGAACGGTGCAAGCACCTTCAGGTTGGGGATCATGTTGAACGCGATCAGCAAGGGCAATATGAACAGCATGTGCATCTCGACAGAGACCACGAACAGCGGGTCGCACAACTATGTTGAGACAGAGAGATATCGCTTTGGAGTTCATCTGTGTTGAAGATTATAATATGGGAATGTAGGTTACACCCTTCCCCAACACCTCACCGCCTTCTTCTTTCCCAGAAATTGACACGAGCATTCTTTGTCCGGCAATAATGCAGTAAAATTATCTTCCAAGTAATAGTATCGTTATTAACAAACATGTAAGTTTTACGACATAAGGCCTATGTCGTAAAAAAACTTAGCAATTCGAACTAGTAATTTTTGAGATTAACTCGTTTAAACAAACTAGCTTTTCAGCTGTTATTAGTATATCAATATTGAATCTATATTAAAATCGATTCTGACTTGAACCGGCATCCACAGCGTTCCGTGCTGTTGCTCTGCTGTTGGTCAATATAGGGACATCACGAAATATTTGAATTTCCTAGCTATTTACTTATAGTTATTCGCATTCAAAGTAATTTAAGATATTAAAAACGAAATCGTAAAGTATTGTAAACATTACTGCCTAAGATAAGTTCAATGGTTCGTAATGGCTATATACATATAATTAATATTTCATATCACCTTCTTGAAGTTATCCGCGATAAACACGATGTAGACACAACACACGCCAAGCTGGTAGGTGATGAGGAAAAAGTCGATGGCGACTGCTGAGGGAGTGGAGAGCGGCCGCAGACTTGCCGGGCCGATTCCGAATGCGACACGAGCACTCTCTGGGTACGACAGGAGAGGCACGCGGCGGATGCGGCAGGCCGCATACTGAGCGCTGATCAGTACTTGGAGACAGTGCGTCACCAGGATGGCGACTAGAACCGTAGCAATGATGCCAGTTATCAAACCAGCCCGTGACATGGCCTGTGGCATCGCCAGGATTCCGGTGCCGAGGCCGAGCCGAAGAAGATGGAACAGAGTTTCCAGGTCTCTGTATAACATGCGCCATTAATCAAATTGTACAAAACGAATTGTTACGAGTCCAATACATGATGTTATTATGTATTTGAATTATTATTTTGGCCGTCCTGTTTGTTCCTCCACTACTTTAAAAATTATAGCTATTACCCATGAGGTTCCGACGAATTTCCGCTATTTGTTCCACATTACGTACTGTTTCTTTGCTTGGTCACAACGGGATGTTTTATATCCTAAAAACTTCCTCGATAAATCCTCTAACACAAAATGTTTTCAATTGGAAGCACCAGTTCCTGAGATTGGCGCGTTCAAACAAACAAACTCTTCAGCTTCATAATATTAGTATAAATTCAGTTGTAAAGCATTTACAACTTTTTTTAAGGAAGATAGGCAGTTACGCGCCCTTTCTCGGTCATTGGTCAAAAAATATTTTAACTTATACTGACGTAGTTGGATGTGGATTTTCCCGGTGTTGATGGGGATCGTAGTCGTCACCCATATCAGTTCTGTAAAAAGTTTTGTACTTGCTTATAATATATACGTGTACGCTGCTTAAAACGTAAATCTGTATATAACATTTGAAAACTTAACTTTTTTATTCGATTTTTATATTAAATTAAAAATATATTTAATAATTAATTTATATAATGCGATCATGTGCAATAATAAAACAAGTTTTTAAACATTAAACTCTGTAATTTCATCTCCTATGATTTCTTTAGCTATAAAATTGGTTCAATTGGTCACATACCAGCACGGAACACTGTTAATATTAGTTCGATTCCCGTCCTGTACATTTTTTTCATTATACATTGTTTCTTTAGATTTAAAATATATCAGTACCGTGTTGCAGGCGTTGGTGAATCATTATCGCGATGTGGCAGCTGCTTGCCGCGTTTGGCAGATCTTGAACCTGTATCCTCCTCCATCAAGTCAGACCTTGCCTGGTTACACCGCAATCCATAAGATTGTTTAAAACATAGAGACGCAACACGTACTCTACTTTTTATTTTTATAATGATCGAAAATCGGACTAAACCCGATACGCGATTAAAACTGACGGCTTCTTATTAGCGGATGATAGTTCATAACGCGAACGGAATTTAGATATTTCTACCACTTTAATATCCAGATTTTCGTACGAATCCAACTTGTTTCAGCAAACATTTTGCACCGGGTGGGGATCGAATCCACGACCCGTTTGCTATTTGCCTACTTTACAATACAAATCAATTTTCACTTGATAGGTTCCTATCATCGGTAGGGTGAACAGAAGAAGCCTTAAATTCCGTACTGACCGAAATTAAAAAGTGTTTTACTTATTGTTACTCACTTGATCATACAAAGAATGAATTTATTTAAGTTAATTAATTTTTGCTGTTTATTATTTTAACAGAAAAACACAATAATAATATAACAATATCTTTGTGACATATAGTAGTTACAGACAAAGCTAAGTAGAATTATTTACACTGTCTACCGATAGATAGCTTACGTCAGAGAAGAAATCAAAGAGAATAAATCGGCTATAGAATTTATTATTCTGTAACAGTCATTATGTACTCTTCTACTCTGTATGCAAACATATGCAAGTCTCTGTTCAAATACATGAGTTAAAAAGGGACGGAAAGCTGAAGAAATTGAAGATATGTCAAAATATCAGTCCATCAAATGTCAATTTGCCCAAAAAAAGTCCTGCATAGTGTGTACTCTGATCGTGTGTACAAAATGAAGTTAAACTGATTTATGAAGAATCCAACATCGCAGTATGACCTTGAAATAGTTAGTCCCAAGCGCGGAGAAGACAAGCACCATGTTCGTGTACGAGTTTATGGCTGGTCTCGTAGACACCATCACAGGTAAATCTCTTAATCCAAATATTGAAATATCTTTTAAAATAATCTCAACTACATTATCTGGGACACATATAATATATAACAGTTCACAATTAAAACCTCACAATTTATCTGTGTCTCTTGGACTCGTTGGTGTGATGGTACAAATTTACAATTTTTCTGAAATATGCAGGACATCATTTGGGAATCTGAATATTAAATGGGTAGTCGAAACCATCATCAACTTTAATCGCGTTTCGGTTTAAGCCTATCCAAATCCAAAATAGGTCGACGGCGCATTGTTTAGATGTTATATGGCTGGGGTATTTCATCCAATATCAATTCATTTTTGTCTGAGCCCTTTCTGCTATAAAAAAATGTTATGCATGCTTCCTCTTAAATCATTACATCTTTAAAACAACAACTTCAGAATCTGTTGCGTCGTTTAAAGATATAAGCATACATAGAGACGGAAACACAGAGGTGGTGACTTTCTTTTATACTATAGATAATTATTTTACGAAAAAAAATATAGATACTGTCTATAGTTTACGCGAGTAGTACACATTTAAATAAAACAGTTTAACGGTTTAAAAACGCGATATATTAGTTAAACTTATTTGGTGGTTGGTTACGTGGTCCCGGGGAGACTCTCCCCGTGACCACGGCTGCTGCAAAGCATCCGAAACGTCGGGCCGAAGTTAAAAATCATTTTCAAATAAGTTTAACTAATATATCGCGTTTTAAACCTTTAAAGTGTTTTATTTAAATTAAAAAAAAAACATTTTAGAGCTGAAACCGTTATTTAGCATGTCCTTCTATGAACGCTGTCCGTTTTTCAGGCGATGACGATGAATCCTACGACCCACATCAGCATCGAAAAGTCGAAAAACCTACGTCGTAAGTATAACATTTACAAAGATCACTTTAAAATGTCTATATCATATATCGTCCTGTATTGTAAAGTATAAATTATACTCGTAGACGTCGTCTACTAACCAACACCGTGGTGTTTCTTACGCAGTTGTCGATAATCTTACTATGTCGTATTTGCTCTTGACAATTTTTTCCTGAAAAATTGGTGGTTTGGAAATTTAAGCATTATTTTGACAACCTTTTTCGAGATAAATCGAACTTGTGGCCGGCAGTAGTTGTATGAAAAGCCATATCTGTTGTGTTCGTGGTCAAATAAATAACTGTGTAAAATCATACTTGTCGTGTAATTTAAAAATGGAACGATCTACTCCACAATATGGCGGCCAAAGCGGTAACTCATCAAAGGTTTAATTTGAATTTCGAACTGACTTGCACATAGAGAGTTGTTTAATAAAAATCCTTTGGCGCGTAAAAAACTATTGTTATTAGTTTTTCTTAAACTTCGTCATTTGTTTTAAAGTTCTGATTTGTACTACTTAGTTTTATTTTCTACGCATGATCGGATGATACAAACCTTTTCGCGCAACTAAGCATGTATGTACTTACTACGACGTTAGTAATTTACTTTAGTGTCTTTAATAAATATTGAATAAAACAGGTACTCGGACACGATGATCCACCTGCTAAAAGGCAGCATAGGTGCGGGGGTGCTGGCTATGCCCAACGCTGTGCAGCGTGTGGGCATCTTGGGCAGTATATTCATGATGATACTCATCGGCGCGTTCGCTGCTTATTGTATGCATCTTCTGGTCAGTAATACTTTAATTTACTTTAATTTAATTTTATTACTTTGTTAATTATTCAACTTCTAGGCTGTAGTCTTCTGTACTGGCTGTGGTATTATGTACCGTATCTTGTTGTTTTTTTCAAAAATATTTTTCCCGCTACATTAGAACTGCAATCGTAAACCGTTAAACATTTTCCAACCAAAGGCATGCACCTCAAGACTAATTCAATCTTACAGAGTATTTTGATCGTTTATCCTCTGTAGCCATCTATATCTATACTAATCAACTTCTGCGTCTAGTACTAACTGTTTGCTTGTTTGAATGCGCTAATCTTAGGAACTACTGGTTCGAATTGAAAAATTTCGAATGCTTGTTGTGTTGGTTAGATCTTGCGTGCGCTTCAAAAACGATTAAATATGCCCAAAAATATGTATAAGAGAACTGATCTCCTTTAAATAAGTTTAAGCTTCACAAGAACCATTCTTATGGTAAACGACTATCAGTTGAAATCCTTACTAATATTATAAATGCGAAAGTAACTCTGTCTGTCTGTCTCATTGTCTCTTTCACGCCAAAACTACTGAACGGATTTGAATGAAATTTGATATACAAATGGTCTAGACCCTGAGAAGGCTACTTTTTATTGCGAAAAGGGGGTTGTAAGGAGTTAAAAGGGGGATGAAAGTTTGTATGGAAGTTGCTGGTTTTTGAAGCTAGAATAATGAAACGTTCTTCTTTGGCTTTTTTGGGAATAGGAGTGGGAGTGGGAGTAGGGGTGGGCGTGGGCGTGTTGGGGGTCCTACAGTCACTGCCACTTGATAGTGTAGGAATGAGACTGGGAGTTAGAGCAAAGTAGCACTTACAAGTTAGATTGGCCTATTCTATCCCAAGTCACTATTTCACGCGGACGAAGTCGCGGGCACAGTTAGTATTGCAAAAGAACGTTTTCCAGTTATTTTGCAGAAAACCTTTTTTTTGTAGATCAGCGCCCAATACACTCTATGTAAAAAGACGAGACGCGGATACTTAGCGTACCCTCGTTCAATGTATTTAGCGGTTCAGGACGGCCCACCGTGTCTCCGGTGGGCGGCGGCGCCCCTCTATTACTTTGTGGATGTAGTTCTCATCATGTGGCAACTTGGTATTTGCTGCATCTACTGCGTTTTCGTCTCTGAAAACGTCAAACAGGTACCACAGATTATAAACCACAAAGTCAAAAAGTATCCTCTCTGCGTGTGAATTATGTGAAAACTAAAAGTCGTGTTTAGTCATTTTATAAATATTTTATCTGGAACATTTTGAAATTCGTCTGGACATCTGTGGTAGGAATATCGATGATGCGAAACGCGATGTATATTAGTTAAACAGCAGCAGCCGGCTGCTGCAAAGCATCCGAAAAGTCGGGCTGTAGTTAAAATAATTCCCAAACCAGTTGAACTAATATACATCGCGTTTTAAACCGTTAACGTGTTTTATTTAAACTCCTGTTTTCTTTTTGTTCAAAAGGTGTTTGACTTTTACGGACGAGAGATGTCGCTGCGCGCTCATCTATGCGTTCTCCTGGCCCCTCTTGCATTACTAGGCCTGCTGAAGGATCTCAAGCTGATGACGCCACTGTCCACGATCTCGAACATCGTAACTATGCTTGGCTTCATCCTGGTCTTTTTCTACCTAATAGAAGATGACGTGCAGGTGGACGAAGAAAAGCTCAACTTCAAGAGCGTAGAAGATGTACCCGTCTTTATCGGTATCGCGTTGTTTGCCTTGGAGGCTGTAGGAGTGGTGAGATTTCTTTCTTATATACTAATAGGTATAATACTAGCTGTGTCAGCGACTTCTTCCGCGTAGAATAGTTATTTTGGGCAAAATTTGTTTTTGCAAATCTCCCTCATCATTATAAATTATAACGGCGTTGTTCGTGTCCCATCGTTCATAAATAATAAAACATACGCAGATACTGTCTGTCACATTTTTTAGATCATTTAAAGAAGAACAAATGTTCCATATACATTTTTTGGGTATTTTAATTTTCCTCAAAAATTGGTGACTTTCCCCTTTTTTTTCACATTTCCCACTGTTTATTCGTTCCTCGTTAATCGCAGCGTAATGTTTTATAGCCTTCCTCGATAAATGCTTTAACTGAGATTACCGCGTGCCAACAAACAAATAAACAAACTCTTCAGCTTTATACATTAGTGTTATTAAAACGTGGTTACAGGTCCTTGCGCTTGAATACAATATGGAGAATCCAAAGCGATTCGTCGGTATTTGCGGATTATTCAATATCGGCATGATTATAATTCTATCTCTGTACATCAGTATGGGGGTGTTTGGATACCTAAAGTACGGAGAAGATATAAAACCTTCGATCACTCTTAACTTACCGCAACACGAAAAGTGAGTATGTATAAAAATAGTCTGTCTATAGTTTACGCGAGTAGTACACATTGAAATAAAACACTTTAACGGTTTAAAACGCGATATATTAGTTGAACTTATTTGGAAATGATTTTTAACTTCGGCCCGACGTTTCGGATGCTTTGCAGCAGCCGTGGTCACGGGGAGACGGGGGCCGAAGTTAAAAATCATTTCCAAATAAGTTTAACTAATATATCGCGTTATAAACCGTTAATGTGTTTTATTTAAATAAAAAGCTTTCAGCTTTCTATAAGAGGTTGCTAGAGGCAGAGTGGCCTAATAACAAAATAACAAGGATTTTCATAAGGAGGAAATAATGCATTATTAACTTAGGCACAAATGAATTTGTACTATTATTGTTAACAATTTTCGGTCAATGTGCTGTTGATAAACAATCTAAAAAAACTACGAAAATATAAACAACACAAGTCATAAAATTGCGCTTAGGCTACTCTGCCTCGCCTTTGACGACCGCGATGTGGATGAATTTGTAAACTTAAAAAGCTGGACAGAAGCTATTTGTATTGTAGCAGTAAGGACTATTATTTTGCAGGAAGGCGCAAGCGGCAAAGTTGACTTTTGCGTTGGCTATATTCCTATCGTTCCCCCTACAAAACTTCGTAGCTTATTCCATTCTCTGGCGGAAAATACAAAAGAAAATCCCTGTGTCAGAGAGGAGTGTTTTGTTCTTCGACTACGCGTTAAGAATCCTTCTTGTGATTATACCGTGTAAGTATAACTAATTAGGATACAAATAAAACACTTTTAACGGTTTAAAACGCGAAGTATATTCATTTAAATCGATTTATATAGATTGAAAAAAACTTACGATAGTGATAGTACTTGAAACGGAGAATACAGCGATTCAAGTTGTTGCTCTTTTGAAAATCTTTTGAAAAAGTTTTCAAATGAAATATATTAGTTAACTTATTTACAATCTGTTTCAACTATGACCCTACGTTGTAGGGTCTGAACGTTATAAGATAACAGATTTGTCAAACATAAATGTTGCTGTTTCGCATTTTAAATCGTTAGTGTAACCTACATCACCCACTTAAAACATCTCGCGTTTTAATCAGTTGTAGCTAAAATTCTTCATGGTGGATATGTGTATACGCAGGGCTATTAGCGGTGCTGGTCCCACGGCTGGGACCGTTCATCTCGCTCTTCGGTGCATTCTGTCTATCGCTGCTGGCGGTGGTGTTCCCGGGTATTATGGACGCGTGTCTCCACTACCCGGAGCACTACGGCCTGGCAAGATTTCGCCTGGTCCGCGACATACTAATAGTGCTCGTCGGCGCTGTCTGTCTACTCGCCGGTTGCTACACTAGCGTCCTGGAGATTTTCGAGGCAGACGAATGAGGGACCAGACAAAATACATATTTATATAGTAAAGCATTTTATTAAATTTTATTTTCAACTTGTACAAATCATTGTTTATTTCACTAACGCAGAAACCCACGTTAATTTACACATATACTGTCTTCGATAAGTACTCTATGATAAATCAGATCGAGAGATAAAGTAGAAGCCCAAGGAAAGGGAAAAATATATTTACGAGTGAAAAATATGACAAGTCCTGCCCAACTTGAGCCGGCATCCACAACGTTCCGCGCTGCTGATTTGTAGAGCAACACGAGACGCTGTAGATGCCGGTTCGAATCCTGCTTGTGTCGTAATTTTTTTTCAATCTCTCAAGAATATTGTATAGAGTAAGGGGTTATGAAAAAAGTTGAGCTTTAAACGTATGTACTGATTGTAAGATGTTATACTGAAGGGCGGATTCAGTGATTTAAGCGGCGCTTGCGCATCGCTCTGTTGAGGCGTTCAATATGGTGCAATTGGCGTACATGGCGCAGTAAAAGACGAAGATGTGAGGCCCTTAGTGCCGCTATATCTCCCGCGCAACCACAGAGTTCCACACAGCATTGACATTCCTCCTTACTGTCTATGCGTTGTGCTCCTTCGTCACTCCTAGCGAAAAAACAAAATAAAAAAAAATTAAAGTAACCACGGCCGCAAAGCGAAACGTCGGGCCGTAGGTAAAATAAGTCAACTGATATATTTCGTGTTTTTTTATAATGATAGAGTGGACATGGGGGTGTGGGATTAATTTCATGGTAGTTGAAATGCCCCACCTTATAGCATCTAAACAAGATATCCCGTCGACCTATTTTGACTTTGGATATTCGGAAAACCACAGACTTATGGAGATGATTGAACTTCACGGCTGTTTCATGTGTGGACCGTGGTTCGTGACCCGGACGTAATTCGATATTCCTACCACTCATACACAGATAGGTAATAGTCTCAACTTATAACTTATTAGTTTAAAAACTTACATTTGTTCATAAGCTTGTACAGCACAGCTACGGCTCATGGAATTGGTAACTCGGTCTGTGGTTGTCTTCTCCTGAACTTCGTTTTCATCACCTTGGCTATCTCTAGACCCCCCACTTTCTTTAGGGGTGTGGCATGTTGCTTCATTGTTCCCACTGACATCACTTTGCGCTTCCATCTCTCCGACATTGGAAGTATCTATTCCATCTTTTCTATAGAGGCAAAATATTAAAATAATTATTACATCACACACTAGCTGTCCTCGCGAATTCGTCCGACGGTTGTAAATAAAGGTAGACATAGAACCGCAGACTTGTCTAGATCATTTGGAGAAAAATTATTCTTTCATAGATATGTTTTGGTTTCTTGAATCGTTCTCGCAGCGCACTCAACGAAAGCCCTCAAAGATGAATCATTTTCCCGTTTTCCACATTTCCGCTTTGTTTCATCGCTCCTATTTAATTGGACGCAGCTTGGTGTTTTATTGCCTAAAACATTCGTCGATAGATCCAACACCAAATATTTTTTTAAAATGTAAACCAGTAGTTCATGAGATTAACGCTTTCAAACAAACAAAGTCTTCAGTTTTATAATATTAGTAGGAAAATTAAAAGCCATGTCTTCATACTATTATGAATCAAAGCTCTAAAGTTTACTTACCAAATTAGCCTTACCAAAAAGAAAAAAAACTGAATTGAAACAACTTAAATACTGTCTATAGTTTACGCGATTAATTCTAGTAGTACACATTTAAATAAAATACTTTAACGGTTTGAAACGCGATATATTAGTTAAACTTATTTGAAAATGATTTTTAACTTCGGCCCGACGTTTCGGATGCTTTGCAGCAGCCGTGGTCACGGGGAGACTCAAAGTCTCGTATAAAAACTAATATATCGCGTTTTAAACCGTTAAAGTGTTTTTTTTAAATTGAAACAACTTATTAACAATAAAATCTAATTAAAAAAAACTTATTTAGAATCTATTTACAGTGAAATTTACGAAACGGGTGGGACTTGAACCGACACACACAACGATCCGCGCTGCTGCTCTCACCTTGGTGCTTATTGATAGTTACCGTCATTTATTTTTATATAAACCTATAGGTACCTTAAACCGTATAGCATACACATAAGCAAAAATAATGTTTTATAGGTTGCTGCTGGGAATAAAATAAAGCTAAAGGTGGATTATCATAATCTTGTAACCATCATTATTACGCCTGCCAGCGAAAGGGACGACAACACACGCCACGAATCACGTAACATAAAGGCCTTACCCGCGATGAGACGAAGTGGTGGTGGATGCGCTGCGGATGAGTGTTGCCCGTAGAAGGTAACGCAGGATGTACCGAGCTGCCCGGCGAGCAGATCGCGAACCCGTCCCAGCTGGTTTCGGCGAAGGCAGAACAACTAACGAGACGGGCTGACCAGGCGGAGTGTAATAATAGAAGGCCATCGGTCTCGGTGATCTAGAAAAAGTGAAAATTAATATTCAACACTGTTTATCGGCCTTTCACCGTTACATTAAACTTATTAGTAATTGCGTAAAATAAAATCACATAAATTGTGTCTTTTTTCTAATTTGGCAAAAGACCACAAGAAATATGGCCGACTTCAAAACCATAGAAAATCTGTGATGCCCTTAAAGAGTGTTGTCGCTGTCACAGATGACACAGGGTTAAAAGAAATATCCATTAAATAGACCAAACGATCTCAATATTCAAAATCACTTTTCTGAAGACTTATTTTTTTATGTCATAATTTTTAACTCGACGTTTGTAACGCTATTCAGTGATCGTGCGTGGTTGGGACTTCTACCTTCTTCCTTATGTAAATGTCAAACGAAAGAAAACTCAATTTCGTCAACTAGGCAAACTAAATTTTAATCTGAGCATTAGCGTAAATTAATTTTTAGGATTTTATGAATTTTAGCATGAAAATGTGGTTTTTACTTAAGTGAATTTAAGTTAGCTTATTAGTTTAATATATAATTAGTGTGTAAGTATATAAGTAGTGTAGTAAGTTAGTGTATGAAAAAATACAATATAAGTATACTAATATTATTTAGGCTGAAGAGTGTTTGTTTGGACGCGCTAATCTCAGGAACTACTGGTTCGAATAGAACATCTATTTTGAGTTTTAATTTAATTTAATCAGAGCATTCTTCTAATCAATTTATATTCTTTCTGGCACACATTGAACTTTGTCTGACGAGGAATATCGAAATTCCGTTAGTCACAAACCATCCACAGATGTAAATGCTTCAACCTTAATCGCATTTCGGTTCGTGCATTTCCGAATATCCAAAAACAAAGTAGATCTATCAAACATGTAGTCGCACATACTCGACAACTTTTTTTGTGCGTCGAAAAAGTTAAAAAAAGTTGAACTTGCGTGAAAACGAAACCGAACGGCGGATCCACGGAGTGCAAGTGAGTTTCGACGGGAGTCGTGGGGGACAAAAGGGGGGTCCGACTGGCTGAAGGACTCCGCTGACGTAGGGGGCTGTGTACTTCGTTAGAAGCCGGACTCTCACACCTATAACAATACATACAATTTGCTTTAGAATCCGTCATTTGTGCGACAAGAGATCTTGGGTTCAAAACTCAGTGAAAAATTACAATTTAGAAGTGGGTAAGATGAAAAAGCCGTGAAGTTCACCAAGTAAACCTTCATCTTATCTGTCGTCTTCTAGCATAAGTCGTCTTAAAGCATTGCGCAGTTTGATAATCTACTTGCATTAGATGGAGATAATAGCACCCGTACTCACCGTAGTCGAACAGGAGACGAACGCGAGCGACGTCGTCGCATGTGTGTATGATCTGGACCTGTGAGAAGATGGAAGCTAATAAGCTAGTTAAAATAAATTCATAATAACTTAACTGAAATATTTTGTGGGCTAACAATTTTATTTATATTCGTGCGAACCACACACAAAAGTTAGGTATCTATTGGTGTAACGAATTGTTTGAAAATATTTAAGAATACCTTTTTTGGTTAGAAAAATATTTTCTATAATAATTACTTACAATATTCTCTTACTATGTTTTCAGTTTTTGTTTTGACTCGAGGTATATTTTCAGCGTTGGCGGGCGTTCGCGCTTCTTTTCTACGTTGTCTGTAATTGTCCGAATTTGGTTAGGGTCTTTGACTTCTTTTAACTTAAGATAAGTACTTAATTTAAAGTGATCATAAACATCGTCATGTGTTTATTGAATTAATTTCCATAACTATTTACAGTACAGACAAACAACCAGACAATGAAGATTTGACTTTGAAATAAGATTTAATTGATTCAATCAACTAAATCAATCAGCTGGGACTGTCATGGTCCTATCTTCCTACGTCGTGACGTCAGGGTCGTTTTTTCCCTAACCGAAGGGAACATCTCACAATTTATATAAAAATCTGTTAGATACACAGGTAGACCGCCTCTGTAGCCAATTGGTTAAGCATATTGCGCTAAGCGCGAGAGGTCCTGAGTTCGAATCCAAGGGAAACAAACAATTGTTTCGGTCGGGCAGGGCACAGAAGTCTGATCAACTACTTGCCTTTTAAAGAACCGATCATTGGAACGAACACAAAAATATGTTCGCCCCATGCCCCAGGTAGATTACTTTAGAGACGACTCACCTGCCATTACGACCAACATTCGACATGGTATAGTATTTTTCTGCTTTCTGGCTACGTTATACAAATAATTTTCATTTAAAATAGATTCGGATTCGCTCTGGCGAATAAGTCACATGAAGTGTCAAAAAATGTATTTGAATCTTGTACATGTGAATGTGCTACTTATCTGCGGTAACGTCAAATGTGTAGCAGACAAGCATCGGGTCACTTGACGTAAGGTAAATACCGCATCCACTCGTTGCTGTAATGGCAGCACTATACGACTAATATCCAACACTTTTCTGAAACATGTTGCCCTACGTTTGGAAATTTGGATATTAAATGGGTAATCCGAAATGAAAAAGCCGTGTAGTATAATCGCGTTTCGGTTTCAGTCTGTGGATTTCCGAATATACAAAGCCAAAATGGGTCGACAGCGCATCATGTTTAGATGTTATATGACTATTCACCTACCTCTCTCTCTGTCTCTTCTTCTCCAGCATAAAAAAAAATATAACAATATCTTACTATTTACCAAATCTCGTGTTTAAAAAATGAATACTACGTACCAAAATATTATTTTTACTAAATAATGAATTTAAGCAATAAAAACAAGCATTTATTTAGTAATTGTTTATTAAACTTTAAAACTAACTTTAACTTTATCTAAAATGAGAATACAAGACCAGACCAAAATTTTACATTTACATGAAAAACTATTGGTTATTTTAATAAAATAAAATAATAATCACCAAAAAATATTTTATTAAAGCCAAATTTAAATAAAACACTAACGGTTTAAAACGCGATATATTCGTTTTAAACCGTTAAAGTGTTTTATTTAAATGTGTACTACTCGCGTAAACTATAGACAGTATTTAAAGCCTTAAAATGTTTGTAGATTATACATTTTAAAATGGACATATACCTGTCATATATGACAGTTTGTAATTATTTGTTAAATTCAAAATATAAACATATGTATATCAATATTTCCTTTACACAACATTTAATAAAGAAACTTTTAACCTATATTAATTTTTATTGTCTGACGTGGTGAGAGGGGGCAATAAGTATAATTTAACTAAAACGTTTTATGAGTTTCATAAAAATATATACTACTCGAGTACACCGTAGACAATATTTCACTGGCAATGTTAAAATTGTGTAAAATTATGTTATGATAAAAATTATTAATATTTCGAATAAGATTAAGGCCGAGAATAAAATAATTCGATAAACAGAATTAGGGAATACAAAAGGCCTTAGCCGGTAGCAACTCGCTCAATAGCAACATTAATGATATAGTAATTTCTTTCATATATACAGTAAGGTGCCATCATCGATCTATTATCATAATAAAATACATTTTTTTTATTAGTTATATCAGCTGAGAGTCCACTGATAGTTATTGACATGTCACTACAGTTGTTTTAATATCAGCAATGCCAATGTATGAATAAGGTTTTAGATATTAAAAATGATGAGTAGTCTTTACAGGACACCCAGATATTAACCACATCCGCAACCACCCATGGGTGGAGGTGGAGGTCCCGATGCCGATGGCCCGAATCCACCGAATTTTCTAGATGGCGGCTTTGGTGGGCTGTGAAAAAGAAAAATGTACTAATATATAAAGCTGAAGTTTTGTTTGTTTGAACGCGCTAAGGGACCACTGGTTTGAATAAAAAAATCTTTTTGTCTTCGTTAAAGCATTTATTAATTAAGGCACACATCGCTGTGACTAATAGGGACGAAAAATCTGCGGTAAATGTGATAAAAACTACGAAGTTATTTGTGGGTTTCAAAGTAATGAAAAAGCGACACGATATACCTAACTTTAAGACGCGATCGCAACCGACGTCATGGGTAACAGTTTAAATTTATAAGATGAAAAGGAGGTTTGCAGAAACAAATTTGGAGCCCAAAATGACTATTCTACGCGGACCAAGTCGCTGACACAGCTGAGTGAAAAGAAAGAAAAATACATACCCACTGCCTGGAGGACGATAGTCCGTCACATATTTATTGCCATGTTTGTTGAAATTTGGATTGATTAGTGTCTGAAAGCTAAAATAAATATTATTATAACAAACTTTATTTTGAGAAAAGTGCAAAAAGAATTATGTTTTTTTTTATTAAATACAATATATGAAATGTTTGTTGTTAGTTAGAGGCCAAAGAAACAACATTTAATTTAAGTATGAACATTGTGAAATTTTCTGTTTTGTTCGATAGAACTAATTATACTGTTACATCCATGATCAAACATAATTGATCCTGCCGACGTCTATGTTCCTGGTTTATAAAGATGATCCAGGGCAGATGTAAATACTTCAGTACCAATGGCCTTTACAGAAGTTGTAAAATGCTATTTATATAAATAATGAAAGTAATTTAACTATATTTGTTTGAAAAAAGGTTTTCATTAATGATTTATGACTATTGTATACCAATATGCCTCTAAATCAGGAAAATCATTACTTACAAGAAATAGAAGAAATTCAAAAATCCCCAGAACCACTTGAATGATATAAACGGAGCACTATCCACGACAGATCCATCTGAAAAGACATTCAGATAAGTATTTACTTCATTCAGTATTATATATGTCCACATAATTACTGTTAAAAATAATTATATGTATATTATTTAGAAAAGTATGTTAAAACGTAATAATGCAGAATATTCTCATAGTTTTGTCACACATTGAAAATTTGAAATGAAAGATAAGTCTTTAAAAGATTATAAAAATGCACAAAATATAGCAAAATCATATGTTTAAAAAAGACTATGCCCGCAACTTCATCCGCATGGCATAGTGACTTAGCGTAGATTTTTTTCATCATTTAGGCTGATTATTTATTTATTTTATAAATTTAATAAGACACACATGTAAATACAGTGTTGCAGTGTTTTAGAGTTACTTTTGCATTTATAATATTACTAAGTTTTATTAAAATTAATTATGATACATCCACACAAATAGGATCATCCCTCATTCAACCCCTCACTACCTTTTTTTTGGTACAGCAAAAGGTTTTACAATGCATGTCATTGAAAAGGGCAAGCATTCAAGGCAGCCAATCTGTGTTGCAAGTGCTACTTTGCCGCAACATTCTCACCTCACATCACTCCTACTCTAACTCCCACTCGCACTCCTACACTGACTCCCATTCTCAAAAAGCCAAAGAAGAACGGTTCATTGTCCTAGCTTCACAAATCACGAATTTCCATAAAAACTTTTATCCCCTTTTTGAACCCCTAACAACCCTTTATTGGCATTAAAAACTAGCCTATGATACTGACAGACAGACAGAGGCACTTTCGCATTTATAATATATATGTATAGATTAGATGTTAAACCATGACATTACGACATAGTGGAAATGTGAAAGTAAATGTTAAAGCATTATATCTGTGAAAAAAACAAGTTGGAAAATGTATTTAAAGGTCATTTAACAATACTTGGCGTTTTCCTCTGAACCCTTCTCAAATCTTCTCAGACATTGAGACTTTTTGACTGTTGTATGGATGAAATAAATTGATATATGAACTGGTAAATAAATGTAAATGTAATGTTTTGTTTTTATTTATAATGAGCCACATTATGTTTTTACACTTTTTATACTATACTTGATTAAATAAGACGTAAAGGTGACTAGTATTTTAACTTTTTCCCTATATATACATATTAATTTCCATTTCAAATACATATTCATAGCTGCATCATTTCTGACCCAACTGAGACATTGTCCGTATCAGTGCTACATTCAGAAACATCCTTTAACCTTTACTACAGGAAGTAGCAAATCATTTACAAATAATATTTCATTTAAATCAGTTTAACTAGCAATTTCGAGAAAATGTAAAAGAAACCTACAAAGATGAACATATAATATGTCACTAAGCTAGAAATATTTCGTTTCACAAATTTATATCATAATAAACATAACAAGGAAGAAATGACGTGGCCCAGAAACAAATTTTTGTACTACTGTGTTACGTCTTTATTGGAAGTATATTACTAGAACTAGTAGATACGTTTGTAATACTTACCACTGTTTACGTACACCATTTTTTTAAATTTAAATGTTAATTTGTGATTGAATTTGAAAGCAAGAAGTTATATTTTATTATTACTAATGAAACAAACTGATTAAGACAACAAGTAAGCACAGACCGTATGTAAAACTAGCACAGACTGAATCAAGGAATATCTACAGAGTGAGTTTCTACAGATGGAAACTGCGCTTGCGGAAGGCAAATCACACAATATTTTTATATTTTTAATACTAAGGTGATATGAGAAACGGCAATATAGGTAGGATAGTAGTTAGCTGAAAATGAAAAAACCTTTTTTTTTATTAATTTGGCAATAATAAAAGTGAAACTAAATACCTGCGCAATTATGATGAAGCGTAAAAATGTATAGCAGGGGAAAACATCAAAATAAACATGCGTCATATAATCATTTAGTATAATAATATTAATTTTCTTATGATAATAATCTAAGTTAATTCAAATTCAATAATAATTGAATCCAATCTTCAGTATAAATGAACCTTAATGTATTAGGACAAAGCTTATTTTGAATTGAACGTACTCACAGCGAAATCTCTAGAATGTCGCTAATCGTTATTCCGTTATGTGTATATTAATAATTAGTTACGTATACGTGAGCTTTACATATTTGTATTGTATACTTTGTCTGTGGCTCTTCCCTATAATTCATTATCGCATTTTATAATTCTCGAACATTCGTTCGAAATCAAATGCATTTTCCTTATTTGGTTATCTGTGATGAATACAGACGTAAATATATTTTTTCGTCTGTGGTATATATGTAATGTGCACTATTCTGTGTTTAAGCTTCTTATGGAATATGGATTGATACTCTGTGCGTGTTCACTGTTGAGTCCTTTACTTTGGCTTGAAGATCTCCTTACCAGGCCATTAAATATTGTCCTTACTGCTTTTTGTGTGCTGTCTGTGGTCACAAACGTGCGTTCTGCTTGACCGCTTTGACTTACTTGCTCAAGCTTCATTGTGGGTTACTTGCTTAAGCTTGGAACGTGTGCGTATCCTCTCCTGCTTTTTTATAATTCTTTTCGGAGACATAATAATTAATAATGGGGATAAACAACCTTTTTATAAGTGAAATTATTAAATTAGACAACACAATGGCGCTTCCTGGGTTTAAGGGTGACGTTCGGGAAGTTCGGTAAGAATATGTTCATGATTTTTATGAGTAATGGCGTTTTCTTTAAGGCATTAGTACACATCAAATTTTATTTATATGTTTTTTTTTACTTTTGTTCTGCATAATGAACCTTTGATTGGCTTATAATTGCTACTGCGAAACGGGCTAACTGCGACTTAATTTATTTTTCGGTATTTAAATCTGCTATCATTATTTTGGGTACCTACAAAAAAAAAACGGGCATAATATAAATGTCTTCAGAAACACGCTTGCGCGCGCGGTTTCGCAGTCAAATCAACTATATACCGACTAAAACTAAAAGGAAGCAAATATTTTATTGACTAGATACATCATCTGATCAACAGATGTCTCTTTCCCATCATACATGGGAAATATATATGTAGGTAGTAAAATAAAAAAATGACAATTTAATAATATCCACCCTCAATCTGATATGACGCTGGTAAAGGCAGAGTGGCCTAATAAAAAAAACGTTTTTCAATGAGGTGGCAAATACAATGTGCAGTTAACTTAAGCAAAAATGAATTTGTGCTATTATTTGTGCAAAATTATCTTAACTATATGCGGTAACTGCTCTTGTAGATTAATTTAATTTTAGACTATTAAAAGATAAATGAGTCAAGTCATAAAATTGCAGTTAGGTTACTCTGACTTTAGTGGCCTCATATCCAATAGTGGTTGGTAGTGTGGTTGGGTTACTAGTCTGAGCCTCTACACAGGTGGCAACGCTAGGCAACAAACCAATCAATAGTGTCTATATCATAGTACATAAAATTTCCTGTGTCAGTCCCATTGTCTTAAATTGACATACAAACTAGCTGTGCCCACGACTTCGTCCACGTGGAATAGTAATTATGGGTAGAGTTTTTCAATTATTTAGGCTGTTTATTTATTTATTTTGTAAATTGAATAAGACACATGTTAATACAGTGTTCCACTGCAAAGAGCTTATTAAGGTATTTATAATAAGTATGTGTATGGTATAGTGTATTTTTATATGCTTATTTGAGTTTTATAGTTACTTTCGCATTTATAATATTAGTAAGTTATATAAAAATTAATTACTATTCATCCTAACAACTTTTCATAGCTCATTCAACGCCTTAGTACCTTTTCGTACAGTAAAAGGTTTTACAATGCCTGTCATCAAAAAGGCACATTCAAGGCAGCCAATCTGTGTTGCAAGTGCTACTTTGCCGCGACACTCCCACTCGCATTCTCACTAATACACCCACACCCATTCCCAAATGTAGATTAAAGATAGTTTCATTGTTCTCGCTTCATTCAATTCAATTTCCATACAAACTTTCACCCCCCTTTTCAACCCTTGACATCTCTTTTGGGCATTAAAAAGTCTATGTCCTCTTTCAGGCTATATAATATCTGTGTACCAGATTTCATTTAAATCGGTTCAGTACTTTGGGCGTGTAAGTCGGACAGACAGACAGTCAAGAGTTTGCTTTCGCATTTATAATATTAGTAGTGAAGTAGTGATTGTTGATTAGGTTAAAAATATAGGTAAATATAATACACTGAGAGTAAAAATTAGTTTTGATATATTTAGTACATACCTGAATGAGGATTCATGGTTAAAATAGCCTTTTTTACCTATCAACTTGAATATATATAATACAATATAATTTAAAACTTTAATAAAGAAGTAGCACATATTTATAAACAAACAAACTCTTGCTTTTGTGTAACACAGTAACATACAAGGGTAAAAAATAGAACTATCTATATATATACATAAAAAAGAGACATAATTTCCAAGATGAAAATCATATATAAATGATAAAATACTTAAAATTGATGGATGAGTTTATTGTTATTTTAATTTATGTATAATAATATGTTTTAGTACATACTCAATCTTAACTCTAACACATAAACTATAAGGCATAGCATAATATATGTAAGACTGGAAGTTTGTATTCTTTACCTCACTCATTCTCCACCCTCTCTCCATCTTAGACTGTGAAGAGTTGAAACCTTATAGGCAAAATATTGTATTATTCATAAAAGTACTACGCATTTGATGTGGGGCATACACCTCTTCATTTTCACTTGTAGCTTATATCAACAGCACTTCAACTTTGTTTTATATAGTTATCCAGTATACTCTGTATTTTCAGTGTCGTACAAGATTACTTAAAAAGGAAAATCGATCAGATAGGAAAAAAGTCTGCAGTAGCACAAGGGCTCGCCGAGGCAATCACTAGTGTTGAGAAATTTCGATTCTCCAACCAGTTACTGTACTTGATAAAAGATTCTGATGCTAATAAGTAAGTTTTTGATAGTTTTATATTTAAGTGCATCTTATTTATTTAAGATCTAAGAAGAAGAACAACGGGTTGCTGTTGTTAGTATTATTTCTATAGTATAAAATTGTAATTTACAGGCTTGTCGACTTAACATCAATTTATTAATGTATTTCTATGATTTTTCATATTGTATTTAGAATATATGTGATACACCCATAATTATTATATTAACATTCATTACATTTACATACTGATATATGTAGAAACACAAAATTCTATGGAACATAAATATCCTCTGTGTATGTCCTACCAGCGACAAAAATTTATGAATTGAAAACTGTTTAGTGATAATTAAGTATTAGTATATATTTGTAAATGAGTAACAAGACAAGAACCTGTTTGAATATTGTCTAAAGTAAAGCAGTGGAAGGGACTGCATTGCGCCTTATCTGTGTTAATGCATGCTTTTGTTATACATAACCCCGTTCATTGTAGATCGTGATAAGCAATCTTGCCTCCCACCCCTTCCTTAATCTATCTTTTTTGACGGGTTCGTTGGTGTAATGTATAGCTAATCAACGTGTAGTTCCTTCGTCTGGAAATCTGGGTTTTATAGTAATATGGAAAATTCCGTACGGGTACTCCGTACGAAAATTCCGTACTACCGTCTATAGTTTACACTAACGGTTTAACGAACACTTTAACGGTTTAAAACGCGATGTTATATGGCTGGGGTATTTTCTCGTTCCGTCGTGTAAACCCCATGCTTCTCGGTCGTCCACACATCGAAGATTTTTTTTTTATGGGTATATTGATAGAGGAATTAATCATAAAGAACAACGTTGATATTATAAAACATTGGTAAGGACCAGTGGCGTAGCTATCGTAGGGGCAGGTGGTGCAGTTGCTTAGGGCCCCGGAACTTAGAGGGCCCCTATAATCTTATCTTTGAGAAGATCTAAACGATAGACAAGGATTGTTTAACGTTCTTGTTGCTATTTATAATGTTGGCAGTTCATTTAATCCAAGGTATGCTAAGAGAGAGGATGAGGACCCGATTCTTTCTTGAGCTTTAGGATTAGGTAGACCGGGGCCCTTGTCCACCTAGCAAAATGGTACTGGTAATGACAGCATTTAAAGGTTATCAAAAATCTAAAATTTATTTTACCAAATCTATAAAAAAAATAGGGATCGTATTGCTACTGTACAATCTCTGAAGATTTGCTGAAGCTAAAAAGAATAAGTTATAAGTTACAATTGAAAATAGATAAATGTTACTATGTAATGTTTAAATAAAACACTAACGGTTTATAACGCGATATATGTGCGTGGAGTGTGTCTCGTGACCACGGCTGCTGCAAAGCATCTGAAACGTCGTTACAAAATCATTTTCGAATAAGTTTAACTAATATATCGCGTTTTAAACCGTTAAAGTGTTTTGTTTAAATGTGTACTACTCACGTAAACTATAGACAGTATTTACTATGTAATGTGTTAGATATTTTTTGCCGAATCTGTTTTATCTCGTTTGTGAAATTATTATGAAATGTTTTAATGACTTCGCTATTTGGGTTGAGTCTACTAAGAAAAGCTGTCTGTTTGTATTTTTTGCCTTGCTCTTCACGTAACGAAACATCGATAACTATTTCACAATAACATCATAGAGATAGAGAACTAGTGATGGCCTTTTGTAGACTGAAGATGTTGCCACAGGTATAAGGAAATATCGATTACTAGCTGTGCCAGCGTCGTCGTCCGCGTAGAATAGTTATTTTGGGCATCCAAATCGTTTTTGCAAACCCTTTCATACATACATCTCTATAAACTTAAGCTGATTTACTCACGACGTCGGTCGCGTCCCTTCCCGTCGTTCTAGCAAGTAAATAATCTTAAAATATAGATATATAGCGTCGCGGACATTTTTTTAGATCATGTAAAGAGGAATCATTCTTTTATACATATATTTTGGGTATCTTGAAACCCAAAATCGAAAACCCATTATGATGAATAATTTTCCCAAATTTCTTCACATTTCTAGCTGTATCTTCGCTTGTATTCATCACAGGGCGATGTCTTATAGTCTATAGCCTTCCTCGATAAATGATCTAGCCAACACAAATAATTTTTCAATTTTGAACCCGTAGTTCCTGAGATTAGCGCGTTCAAACAAACAACAATCACTTTTATAACGACTTTTGTTTTAATTTGATTTTTATTTATCTTGTCGATAGTTACGCGTTTTAGCAATCGTGCACGAGTGACTTCTACTATCGTTGACTATGCTTACTTCCCACCCTTACTTATTTTTAGATGTAAAATAGTGGTTTTTACTAAGAGATTTTGAGTATGATCAAAGTGGTTTAAGCGTATATCAATCACGTGGGAAAATCACTATTTCATGTATGCACATTGCGTGTTTGTTTACCAAAAAGCCCGAGTTAAAAAATACAGTATAGATTTGTTTTTATCTTGTGGAAGAATGTGTGCCTCTCAAAATCATTATTTCGCTTTCAGTGGAGATGGCGAACTCATTGGGTATCTGAAGATAGGCCAGAAAAACCTTTACCTGAACGATGACATGAACAAAGTGCGACAGGTTGAGCCGCTGTGCGTCCTGGATTTTTACATAATGGATGAATATCAAAGAAAAGGTTACGGCAAGAAACTCTTCGATTACATGCTATCGGTTAGTTTTATCTATACTAATGTTATAAAGCTATAGATTTGTTTGTTTGAATGTGCTTATCTCGGACACTACTTGTTCCAATTGAAAAATGAGTCTAGGCTATAAAACTTTATGCTGCGGCCAATAGGAGCTAAGAAACGAAGGGAATGTGACAAAGAAAAACTGTACAAATTATTCTTCCATCGGGGATTCCGTTGCGTGGGCTTAATGGCAGATCAAGGTACCAAAATGAATGCAAGAATTATTCTTACAATTATGCCATATGGCAAAAGAGCGTTCGTCAGGTCAGCTTGTTAGAAGACAAACAAGTGTAACACAGTAGTATCATCCTGGAGCTAAGAAATTGGAAGTGTCACCACCTCCGCGCCTAAGTGGTGGCTAACAACTGTTACACGAGAGACTACATGTTCCCAGCTGTACGACGTTCATATTTATTAATGGATTCTTTACTTTAAATACTCTATTGTGTGAAAGAATACTTTTCGCGCTCATATGAACCAGGGTTGAACCACGTTGTAAAAAAATTCTCGTTCACTAACGGAACGCGTGACTATAACTTTTCAGGATCTCAAAATGACCGTCCATCAAACCGCATTAGATAATCCATCGGTGAAATTTCAAAGCTTTCTTAAAAAGCACTATAAGGTCAAGGACATCGTGGTTCACGCGAACAAGTTCGGGGTAACCTCCGAGTTCTTCCACAATCAGGAGTTAAGGTGATATGATTCTTAAGTTATACAGATAATTTGTAATTCTTATTGAAAGTGACATCCAATTTCCCCACGTGGGGCATGGGGCAAACTCTTTACTGAACGGACTCCTATGCCCTGCCCGACCGAAATAATCCATTGGTTCCCTGGGATTTGAAACCAGGACCTCACGTGTTTAACACAATGCAAAGCGAAATGGTTAAACGCGTCGCCATGCGCATTACGAGGCGGAACTCAACCCTTTAAAAAGTAACTCCATTTTGTACTGGCACATGATGACATTGTATAAGTTAAACATCTAACTAGATTGAGAAGGGTAAAATATCTGGTAGTTGTCCATCCCATACAATATAACCAACCAGTAAGTATGGATACCAGTGTCCCTGTTGTTTCACAGACACATCAGCCAGACCAGGCGGTTATATTATTGGGACTGAATATTCGTTACGTTATGGTAACTATGGTAACGCTTTTCTAATGTTATGCCTAACGTTTCAGTGCTCCTCGACTGCCACAGCGTGAATACCTACACGCAGGTCGTTACACAGCTCATCATCGCGAATCTTCGATTGCCCGCGTAAGTATAGAAACGCTTTGGACCGATTTTAATGTACTTTGTATTATTTTGTAGATGTTAAACCCTAGATAAGTGATATTTTTGAATTATGATACATATTTACTGAAATATATCAAACTAGCTGTGTCAGCGACTTCGTCCGCGTAGAATATTTATTTTGGGCATCCAAATTTGTTTTTGCAAATCTTTATAAATTCAGACTGCCCACGACATCGGTCGCGACCCGCCGCTCACGACCCATCTTTCGGGTCCCGTCGTTCTTGTAAGTTAATCATAAAAGATAGACATATAGTGTCGCGGACATTTTTTTAGATCATTTAAAGAGAAATCATTCTCTCACACATATTTTCTTCGGTCTTGAACCGTTTTAGCAGCGTCTCAAACCTACAGAGATAAAATTTTTTAATTTGAACTATTACAAAAAATATACTTAAACCAGAACTGCGGAGTCGTGGTTCAACTCTTAAACCATGGTCTAAATGAATCTAAGTTAGTATCATAGTCAGTCCAGTTCATTTACAATGTACAAGTCCAGTACATTTAGAGTGTACAAGTCCAGTACATTTACACTAGGTTTGAGAGTTAGTACTTGTTTCGTAATAAGAGTGTAACAGTTTAAACAGATTCAAGCATTCAAGGAATTACAATTTTGTTTATTTATTAATGCAGAGAATAAAACAGTTTTAACACTAGGAACCACGGTGGTTTATAGCAGTGTTTCTAAGCAAGTGACGTCGTCACAAACGCGACCAATCAGGAGCGTTTTGTGTCACGTGACAAATAAAAGAAGTTTTATTTATTTCAATTGTCATTTTTACGTATGTGACTTTTTTCTAAACTTTTACTTAATGCTGATCACGGTAATTAACGTTCACGCTATATTTTTTACACGCAAGTGGTAGGCTTTACATCTGTTGCCTCAGGACTTGCAAGTTGACCTACAGGGGCGGTAACGATCAATAAATATAATTGTTGGTCTAATGGTAGCGATGTAAAAATCAACGGATCGTGGTTTCTTACTCCCCCAAATCTCCCTTCCCCCCCTCGGGTCCAACCTGTTTCTCATCAATTTAAATTTTTGGAAATCTCGATATTAAATGCGGGTGGAAGGAATATTGAACTATATACACATATAACCCTCAAAGATACATTTTTACACATTTCTCAATACAAAAATAATGTATTATTTTCTTTCGCTTAATAATATTACTATAGATATGTTCTTTGTTACAGGTTATACATGGAAGTCCCAACACTAGGTAAACACATTTTATTTAAATTTGCTTTATAAATGTTTTTAAAATGTAAATGTAATAATTTAAGGGAAAATATACGAAAGGTGTCCAAATTTTTTAACAAATATTTTACCATGTCTTACAAGTGGTATTTTGGTTTACAAAATCACTCAGTCTTGTTTTTTGGAGTTTATTACATAGATCGCCCTTTTGAACTGTTAGTCGCGAGGCCCTGGGCGTCGTGATATTGGCCCAGGGGCGTCGCATGTCGATAACCAAATTAAGTGACCGCCACGTGCATTCTTTCATTCAAATAAAATTAACTGGGATAACTGTTTGGGCGTGAATAAGGATGCCAGAGCGATATCTGGACTCTCATCAAAACCAAAGCTTTCAAATGTAAAATGGACTCATGTCCTACATAGAGAGAGGCCTATGAAGCACAATTAAGATTTTTCAGAAACTTTAAAGAATTTAGTGTCAAGGAGGTGGTAATTTCCAAACTGGAGCCCGAAGCTATGCTCGTAAATCAAACGCATCCTTCAAATTAGCCAACCTTGCTGGCTTCTTATGTAAAGATCTCTTTTTTTTACATTTTTTATTATGATCGGTTCATAATGAGGCAGGTAGCTACAATTTGCGAGTTGACTAGGTTGAGGGGCGTTGTTAAAAAATAGCAAAGACCAATATTTTATTTTTCATAACATAGTCCCACTTACTCTATTGACACCTTTTGTAATTTTATTTCCTTCTCGTTATAATCCTTCGTGCACACAAAAGTATTAATATCGTCACTACTTAACCTTTGTGTAAAGTTAAACATTTAGTATTTGAGTCTCAGAGCGTATACTTACTACCACCGTCTACTACCGTCCTTCTATTCGACTTTCATATGAACTCCGGAAGATTCTTTTTTAATATTATAGATTTCTTTTAATATGTATTAGTTGTTTTGTTGCTAATGTTTTATCTTTTGCCTCAATAGGTTGGATTGATAGCCTGATCACGAACATACTTAAAAGGTGCTTTTTGTTCATTTTGATCATTTTTCTGCTAAACGTTTTCTTTGACTCGCCATAGAATGCCCACATTTAAAACCTACACACGTTTCGGCTACTAACTAAAACTATTTATTCTGGGATGGTTTTCAAAACATTAATTCGTTTGAAAAAAACACTTTAACGGTTAAAAACGCGAAATATATTCGTTGAAATTATTTTAACTGCGGCCCGACGTTTCGGATGCTTTGCGGTAGGTGTCTTCGTCTTAAAGTGTTTTATTTAAGTGTGTACTACTCGCGTAAACTACAGTATTTAACACATCTCTAACTTGGGTGAACATTCATCTAAGTCTTCTTTCGGGGCACCCTTGGTCTAGCCGCAAGCTCTCTAGTCACTGACATTTAGGCTATCCATACAAATATAACTTTTATTGAATATTTTACAATTATAGAATTAATGCTTGAATTAATTCCTCATGAAACAGCAAATACAGTGGCGGGATACTAACATCCGGTGCACCTTTTGGGGATAACATTGTGCATTGGGAATGATTAAACATATAATTATTCTATGCCTTAATCTCTTTACATGTTACAGCATCCAGCAGCCGCAGGTAGATAGTCAATCCAAAATTAAGCCCTTGCCCGAATCAGAACCAACTAAAGTGGAACCAAACGTGTCTCCACCAAAGGAAATCCAACAGGACTTCAACACCGAAGACCACGAGGATGCGGCATCTGTATCGTCATTACCAGACGAAAGCAAAAATCACAAAAGACCATCCACTCTTGAAGTGCGGCCGATGTCGGAAGTGGAAGGGGAGGGAGATGAAGTGCCGGCTGGTTCAGTGGCGTCTCACCCGCCCGCCTCCCTCACGGACCGCGGCTACTTCGACGTCAAGTTCTACCACAACCAATTGTGGTGAATTGTCTTTTCCAAAAGTGAATTCTGAAATATCGACGCGCTGTAAAGTACGTCGATATATATTTTTTTTCAATCCGACTGTAGTTGCAGTTATGCGTGACTAGGTCTCAACATTCAAACGCAATGAAACTATTTCTTTAAGATTTAACGGCATTTAACAGCAATTCGTCTGCGGGCCTAACATACTTATAGTTAAATAAAAACACTTTACGGGTTTAAAACGCGAAATTTGTTACTAATTCAATTCGTTTTAACTATAGCTCGACGTTTCGGATGCTTTACAGTCTGTCTCCGTGGCCACGGCTGTTGCAAAGCTTCCGAAGCGCCGGGCTATAGTTCAAATGAAACGCGAATGAGTTAACTAATATATTTCGCGTTGTAAACCGTTGTAATTGTTTTATTTAAATGAATATTTGCGTAAACTAAATAATGCTAATGCTATAAATTAAAATCGAATTTTTTCAACTCTCGAGCAAATGCAATTTCAATCTTAACTCTTGCTGATTAAGGTCTAAGGTCTATCATGTGCTTTGCAGCTTAAGAAAATCATTGAATTTGAAATTACATAGTTTAACATTTTTGAGAACTAACTCTATATTAAAAATTATCGTAGTTTTATTTCGTTCGTAGCGTTTTGACCTGTCCATACGTTTCTACAGTGAACCGTATACACGTAGTCCCCGGATTAGATAGGCTTCTCATTACATAAATTAGTTGTGAATTATTTAACTTAGAATCTCTTATTCCTAAATGCTTTATTAGTTTTAGTTAATGCATAGTAATTTATTTCAAGACTATAGATTATTTAGTTAGTTTCGTTCTATACTTTTTTCTAAGGGCCCAACGTACCTTATTGGACATTAAAATCGATGTCGAGTTACGTCCCAATAACGTGATGTAAAAATTCGTTGCATTTAATATTATTTATAATTATTGTTAATTAGTTAGTTCGGAGCGGAGCTCCAATACCAAATATTTTCTTGGAGTTTTTATGTTTCGTATTTTATATAAATTTCTAATTTAAGGCCTTGATGAGCTAAATTCTGGGCAGATAGTATTGTTGCTGTAGGATTTTTGATAAGTATTTTCGTTTATTTATATTAAAATAGTAAAAAAAAACTTACTGTTGCGAGTTTTCGAATATCTACAAAAATATTTTGTTTCAACTAATTTAACTTTCTTTTTATTCTCTATTATTACTTTACGGCTGTCTTTGAAGAGGTCTTATGGTAGCAGGTGTTTGGATCCCCGATTGGTCCATGCCTAACCTTTCGTAATGTTGGACTTCGAATTTCTTCCAAACCACAAACCGTCATCCACAGATAAAAGCCGTGCAGTTTAATCGTCAGTCTGGATTACGAATCCCACAGCTGATAGCAAGATAAACTTGTCACTTGTATCACCCTGCAGCAAAAATACAACTGTTTTAGCAATAACAACGATAAAAAAATACTTATTCGCGTTTTTCCAGCACTTAAATGTTAAGTAAACGTAAGGCAAGTTTAAATTTCCTGTAGGTAGCCTGGAAGTGCACCTATTCATTCTACTTTGGCTTTATTGCAAATTGTTTTAAGTTATGCTCGCACTGAAAAGCACAAAGCTTTAATTTGTTAATTGTTAAGTAAATGTTATAGTTCATATTCGTATCGCGTAAAACAAACAATTTTTTATTTATAACATACAACATACCTTGTGATGGCATTTCGTAGTTAAATTTGTTTGTTATCTTCCTGTATCATTTTTTAATTAAGAATATACACGTCTAATATATGCTGTGAACCAAATGTTTGTTTAATTTTATATCCCATTCAAGAGCTAGCTTCGGATTCGAGACCGGGTTAAAAAACTAATGTTTGATTAGAGAAACCGTTATAATAAATTTACGATCCCTTATCTTTTATTGGTCTTCGTACAATAGTCAGACGCTTGTCATACAACAAAACTCACTGGACTAACAGTCGAGCTCATAACTTACTGTCAGTTAATGATAGATAGCTATTCCAGTTACATTTAAACTATCTTTAACTGGTTTATAGTATTTAAATAAAACACTTTAACGGTTTAAAACGCGATATATTAGTTACACTTATTTGAAAATTATTTTTAACTTCGGCCCGACGTCTCCCCGTGACCGTGACCACGGCTGCTGCAAAGCATCCGAAACGTCGGGCCGAAGTTAAAGATAATTTTCAAATAAGTTTAACTAATATATCGCGTTTTAAACCGTTAAAGTGTTTTATTTAAATGTGTACTACTCGCGTAAACTATAGACCGTATTTGGTTTATAGTATGTTGAATATTAGGACCGGCCGGTGGTGATCTTATATGGTCGACGATTCTTAAGAAATATAGTTTGCCTTTTCCAAAATTACCAAGTACTTACTAGTGTTTAAAAAGCTAGCGTAATTTGCACCTATGCCTTTTCGTAATCAATTTCAAGTCCTTTGAAAGAATATACCGAGTTGAAAACCGAATGGCACGTTGGTGTTCTAGCGATGTATGTCTAAAAATCAACTATTGGGTGCGATCCCCACCGGGTCCAACACCCCAGTCGAAGTCCAACATATTTCACAACGGTGAAATATGTTGGACTTCGACTGTAAATACATGTATGGGTGGTAAACATATCGAAATTCCACAGATGAGAAATTCGAAGCCTAAGTTTGTCTGTCCTCTATCATAAAAGAAACCCGTATTAAATAGTGGGATAATATAAGGCCGCTAGAGGCAGAGTAGCCTAACTGCAATTTAATGACTTGAGTTTACCATAGTGACCGAAAATTGTTAACATAATTCTTACACAAATAATAGTACAAATTCATGTTCGCCTAAGTTGATTGCGAGTTTGGTTTTCCTCCTTATTGAAAATTATGTATTTTCTTATACCACTCTGCCTCTAGCAGCCTCATATATGGATTTATTTAACGTGCAATACTTAAATTACTGTATATGTCTATAAATGGGACGAAAAATTGACAATGTCAAGAGTCAATTCAAGCAAAGTTACACAAATTTTAAAAGCCTTACTCTATAAATATTAAATGATAAGAATATCCCTCGCAATTCCATTTATTATCTTAAGCAGATTTTCCACTATATGTTTTCCAATTAAGGGACCAGGCACTGATCTGGTAATAAAAGCAGATGAGTTAGTAAACCTTGTTGCTGATGAGAATCTTAAAGCTGTGAAACACAGAATTTGGAGCCGAAAGTTTTCAAAAAGGCAGACCGCTATTGTACGTTTTGCTTCAGGTATTGTATCCATTTTGAATTTAACAAAATGCAGTTGAAATTAAACTAAGCATAACTAAAACATAGTTATAACGAAGACAAAGAAGTTGGTAGTCTTACTTGCTTAAATATATATTGAGATTTTTTTGTTATTACAAACCTGAGATGAACAAATGTTAGTAGCCTTATTCCTTATATTTATTACATTCATAGTAATATATCGTTAAATGCAATGTATAACAACATACTGCCATACAGTATGTACAAAACATATTTTTTGAAACCTTAATACTATTATGAGAGTATGTGTCAAGCCGACTTTCGTTTGTAAGGTTACGAGTTCGATTTCTGATCGTGAACGAGAGATATACATTATTGTGTTCATCCTAAGGTTCTCTCCTCTGAAGAACATGGGAAAAATATGTGTTACCTATATCTTATTGGAAAACCATTTCAGCCCCAACTTTAGGTCCACAAGAAGATCTACCCAAGCGTCATAAAATTTGGAGTCGATGGGGAAAGTGGGGATCTTGCTCTGTCTCGTGTGGCGACGGGATTATCACCAGACGTCGTATATGTGTTGCCGGCCGATGTGCACCAGGCGAAGTCGAAGAACAGCACCGGCCATGCTCAAAAACACCATGTTGTGCAACCACTGTTGATATGTTGGATGGAGAATAATATAATTATTTGAAGACAGATAGTGTCCATGTTAATTTTGTAGGATTATGATACTCAAATTAAAAAATAAAAGTGTTAATTGTAGCTATACATATATCTATCTATTTATATCATCATATATATATCTATCTATTTTATAGAGATTTAAGTATTGTCCGTAGTTTACGCGAGTAGTACACATTTAAATAAAACACATTACGGTTGAAAGACGTGACCACGGCTGCTGCCAAGCTTTCGAAACGTCGCGGTAGTTAATATAATTTTCAAATACGTTTAACTAATATATATCACGTTTCAAACCGTTAGTGTTTTTTTTGCAAGTTAATCTTAAAAGATAGACTTATATTGTCTCGGACATTTAGAGACGAATTCTCTTATACATATTTTGGTACAACATAATCTGAATCTTGCAAAGAATAGAACAACGTATGCCGGCTAATTCAATCAGCTAATTCTTATATAAAATTGTGTGTAATTCCGTTTCCCCTCGTGGGGCATGGGGCAAACACATTTTTAAGCCCGTTTCACTGATCTGTTCTTTAACAGGCAAGTACTTGATCAGACTTCTGTGCCCCGCCCGACCGTAACAATTTTTGTTCCCTGGGATTCGAACCCAGGACCTCACGCGCTTAACGCAATGTTAGGCAATACGTAACCATTTAGCTACAGAGGCGGTCATATTAAATTATGCGTAATATTAATTTATATTCATCAATAAATAGTCGCTTATTTAAAAATAAACCAGACAAACTTAAACACACATTCGATCACTTGAACAAATATCGATTCAGAATAATTATTACAATAAACAAAAGTCTTCGTTTCTTTTCCATTAATGAAAGTTGTATGTGGTTATTACAGCTGCGTTACTACATGCGAATACGACAACTTGTAAAATTGTATTTGTTATTAGAAGAGGGCAGACAGGTCGTAATACTAGTTCAATTGATAGACGGTAAATCACCACAGTATAACATCTCAATAAAATGCACAGTCGTCCAATTACGGGATTTGGATATTCGGAAATTGATAGACTGAAACTGGAATACGATTAAAATTCTCGGCTACTTATCTGTGAAGGGTAGTTCATGGCCCGGATGAAATTTTATTTCGTATTCAAATTTCCTGATTAAAATAATAAGAAATTATTTTATAAGATCGACATGTTGTGATAAAATTATTGTAAATAATTAGAAATAATATGTTGGACCAGGTGGGGATCAAATCGATATGTTGATTGTTAGTCATACTACATATTGCAAAGGAATTCATCAAAATTGATGCTATTAAATTTTATATACTCAACAATTAAACATGTTGGCTGGCATTGCGTTAAGGGCGAGAAATATTAAATTTGAATCCCGGGAAAACAATAGATTGTTTCGTTCAGGCCAGGCACATAAGTTTAATCAACTGCTTTGTAAAATATGATATGAGAGAAACGGGTTACTTAAAAAAAAACTTAAGAATTTAAGTATTAAAAAAGTTACCTAAATACCATCTATACTTTACGCGAGTACTACATATTTAAATAAATCACTTGAACGGTTTAAAGCGCGAAACATTTTACGCAGGCTTCGTAAAATAGTATAGCAAGCATCCGACATGTCGGGCCGTAGTTTAAAATAATTTAAGTAAAATATATTTTGCGTTTTAAACCGTTAAAGGGTTTTATTTAAACGAAAGTTACTTCTTAATCTTTTAATTAGTCTACAACATTGACCGAATGGATTCCAGTGAATATCGAAAGAAAGCTGTCTTTTTGTTAGTTTTACCGCGAATCGAACGGTTGGACTGTCTTCAGTTACATCAAAACACTCAGTTCTTCGAAATTTGAATAAAGAACGACAACTGTTGGAAGTCCTGCCATTCTTGTGGAAAGTGTGGAAGTGTTTTGTCGCTATACATAATGAAACTGTGTGTGTCTGTCGTTTTTTCGATTTGCACTCTTGAGTGTTTCAGCTTAGAGAGTGGGTATCTTTTTCTTTATTCATCCATTATTATATTAAAATCGCTTTAACGGTTTAAATCACGATACATATTAGTTGAACTTATTTGAAAATTATTTTGACTAATGTGTGTACTTGCGTAAACTACAAACAGACCATTCTTATATTTTCTCTTCTATGTTCTGGTTGACTGATACAATTAGTGCCCCAGGAATTAGAACCCAAGCCCTTATTATCCGCTCATGCTTGGCATACGAAAGCTACCTTCCTAACAAGACGTTAAGGAACTAAGCGCGATATTTATAATCCATGAAACTAAATTTTATAAACCAAACAATTAAACACGTTGCCTAGCATTGCGGTACGCGTGAGAGGTTTTGGGTTCGAATCTCTGGGAAAAAAAATTGTTTCGGTCGGGCAGGGCACAGAAGTCTGATCAACTACTTGCCTGTTCAAGAACGTATCAGTGAAACGGACACATAAATGTGTTCGCCCCATGCCCCACGAATTTCAAACAGGATTTCACACACTTTTAGAATAGGTGGTGTAGGGGTAAGAAGTACCTAGAATATATCCTCCGTACAACTTATTAATATTCCACTATTTATCTTTAGTTAAGTTTTTAAATGAAGCCCAATTATGTATATTTTAGGTATAAAGACGCATGTATTTTGTTGTGTGACAGTATATAATATTTATATTTTGTAATATCCTAGATCTTTATTTATTTATCTAAGTCTCCAAGTAACTTGTCTATGTTTTTGTATTTATATAATTAGACTAATTTGAAGACAAGTAAAATGTTTTTCACAGCAACAAAGGAGCCAGTAAAGGATGCTGCACAGAATACATCGCATACGGTGCCCTTGAACGACCTTCAACCGACGACATCTTGGGATTTGAAGCGAGATATGAAATCTCTATGGGTTTATAGACCACCATCTCTGGTATCGCATTTTTATTTATCTTCTCTTTAAATGGTACAACGTAGCCTTAGTATTAGTTGATGACATAATATGTCCAATTTTTACTTCTACGAGTATGTTGAAAAGTCCACTCTTATTTTAAACCTTAACATTTTTCACACGCTATCATATAAAATAAACCTTTCTTATAAAGATGAGAAGGAGGTTTTTAAAAGCAAATTTGGATGTTTGAATTATTAATTCTACGCGGACGAAGTCGCGGTCACACTTAGTGTTTAATGTACAAGAAAATTATCAGCCCTCATTTGTAAAGATTATGTTTTCCCAGGTTACACATTAGGAATTATACTAGGTTCTTTCATAATTACAGCAGGCACAGGATCAAGAAAGCGTTTTTCAGCAAGCTGTGTTCAAGGCACCACACCTACTCACGAGACTGGCTAAGCCCTTCAACTTTAGAATTGACCCTTATTTTAGCAAGGTATATACGTTTTTGGCGGACTCGTTGGTCTAATGGTATGAATATATGGCTCGTGGGTACGATCCCTACCGGGTCCGACGTGTTTTAAATTTTTTTATGTATAATTTTTCTGAAACACGCCGGACTTCGTCTGGAAATCTGTATAGTAAATGGGTCACGAACCACCACGTCCACAGATAAGCTGTGAAGCGTAATCGCGTTTCGGTGTCAGTCTGTGGAATATTCAAAGCCAAAATATGTAGGTCGTTTGCGCATCTTGTTTAGATATTATAGGCTGGGGTGTATCACCCACCATCAAGTGAACGTTATGCTTGTCATAATTAAATAAAAAATATTAAAAAAAAACTATCGTAACAAAAAAAAAACTATTTCATTCACCTCTTTCGTATAAAAATTAATTAAACCTTGGTATGTACTACAGCTACTGATTACTGCACAAGTGCACAGCAAAGCAAGCCGTTATTAAATTCAATTGTCAAGTTAAATAGTATTGCGCGTTTTAAACCGTTAAACTGTTTTTTAATAAGGTGTCCTTATCATAAGGATACAGAGCTAAATTTTGCACTTACCTGTGGTTAGTGGATTTAAAGGACTACCGCCACAAAATGTTCATAAAGCTAGTTTTAAAACAAAGACCCATCGAAGACTGCGCGATAAAAAGTGGCGCGGGCGCTGAGTTATATTCTGTCTCCACGTTGATTAGTATATAATCGTTATTATTTATAATCCACCTCTGTAGCGAAATGGTTAAACGCGTTGCCTAGCATTGTGTTAAGCGCGAGGTCCTGAGTTCGAATCCCGGGGAAACCATAGATTGTTCGATCGGGCAAAGTACGAATCATTGAAACGGACACAGAAATGTGTTCGCCACGTGTAATATTTGAAGCACTAAAGTGAAACGTAGTACATACTGACAAAATCCTTTGTCAGTAAGACCTTTTCCTTTGGAGTCGTCAGTTAAAAAGATTATTTTGAATCTAGAATAATGTGAATTGTAACTTGTTATTTATTTTTACGACTTCACTACTACATTGTTGGGTTATTGTTCAATTTAACTACAAATAAGTTAACTTTACGTGGAACTAAAGTTAAAACTAATAAAAAAGACAATCTATGCAAAAAAAAACGTTTCATTTTTTTGGAGATTCTCTTTAAGGTTATAAACTTTTTACTGGTTGGGCGATGCCATAAACTTCACAGGGTCTTAGTATTGAACTAAAATTGTACTCATGCATGGTAGTGGATTCTATTACCACGGGGCTAACATATTTGAAAATTACTTCCTGATGTTTCAGGTTCTCTTTGCTAAAGAGAATGGGACAAAATTCATTTTTAAAGGATCCCGTTACGTGCGCTGCGAAAACGGTTCAAGATACCCAAAAAATATATATGAAAGAATGATGCCTCATTAAATGATCTAACACAACAACAGTACATGTCTATCGACCGACGTCGTAACAGCTATGATTGACAAAAAATTGCCCAAACAAATTTGATGCCCAAAATAAATATTCTAATATAGGTATTCGCTTTTCATTAATTTACTGATGACTTGATTTTAGGACCACTTTGAGCCCTTCGAGAGGAGGGGGAAACCGGTTACACTCGTGGCTTTCAGAAGGAACGCCCTGATGCCACGCAGAACTGTAAGTAATTTACTATATAAATATACCATTATAACGATCATAGAAATTGGATTGTCCACTCTAAGTATTAAACTCGGCCACATATGGACCTAGATCTTACATTAATTCTTTTGCCGTTTAGTACATTAATCACGTGTTATTTAAATGTTTTATATTCTGATCTATTTATTATTATGTTACCTCTTTTTATATATCTTGTATTAATGGGGGTTATATGTTGTTTTTATTAAATTTCAATTCCAATTGGATTGTGAAAATGTATCGTCGGGAGAGTCGAGTTAATTGCAAAACAAGGGAAATCAAGACATAATAGCTAGAACACTATTTCATTTAAATTTTCATGTAATTAATTGAATCCGTAAGACGGACAGAGAAATGAGTTCGTGCCAAGCCCCACAGGGGTGAACAGGATTTAATATGCCAGAGAAAAGAGGCAAAGTTGATTAATCTTCACGGCTTTCTTTTCTATAATGGTTTGGAATCCACTTAATATCCAAAAAATGTTTCGGAAAAATTAATTTTATTTGTCCAAGAAAACATGTTGGAATCGGTAAAAATCGAACTCACGACCCGTTGCGCGTACGTCGCTACCATTATAGACCAACGTGCCTCTGTATTTCTTAAAGGTCGAACGAAGTGTGTCAGCCGAAATTGCCGAATTACAATCACCCTACAACGAAATCGGAAGTCTATGGCGAGAAGAGCCAGATGTATTTAATGTTTAATTTTAAACTGTAAAAGCTTTAAGATAAATAAAGTTTATTATTTTTACTTCCTTTGTTTTAACCTTGAATTATGTTGTACCCGGAGGAGATCAAACCAACGACCCGTAGACTATAAAAAACATATTGTTGGTATGAAAATTAATATATATTCTACTAGCTTTGCCAGCGACTTCGTCCGCGCCCCGTCGGTCTTGTAAATGAATTGTAAAATATAAATATAATATACTGTCGCGGACGTTTTTTTAGATCATTTAAAAAGGAATGGATATTTCATACATATTTCTCTAGCCGTTCCAGAGAATCCTTCGTGCACGCGTCCGACTTTCTTTTTTTTTCACTTTTATTTTCGGCCAAATGCGGGCCAAAAATAAAATATAGGCTTTTATTTTTGGCCCACATTTTACTCCCTATTACATCAGCTATCTGTCAGTGAAAGGTCCGTTTTAGTATGTGTACCGTGCATACATCCATATGCATTTAGTAAAAAGCGGTTATTTTAATGTTACAAACAGACACTCCAACTTTATTTATTTGTATAGATATACTAATATATAAAGCTGAAGAGTTCGTTTGTTTGAACGCGCCAATCTCAGGAACTACTCCGTATTGAAAAATTATTTTTATGTTGATTAGAGGATTTATCGTGGAAGTTTATAAAACATCGTGCTATGACTAATAGGAACGAAGAAACAGCGGGAAATGGAGTAAACTCGAGAAAAAGTATTAATCTTATTGGGATTCCCGTACGTACGCTGCAAAGACGATTCGCGATACCCAAAAAATATGTATGAGAAAATGATTTCTCTTTAAATGATCTAAAAAAAAGTCCGCGGCGCTATATGTCTTTGTTATCTTTTAAGATTATCATGCAAAAACGATGGGAAGGAACGCGACCGACGTCGTGGGCAACAGCTTAAGTTTATAAGGGCATGCGGTTTGCGAAACGAATAACGATTCTCGCGGACGAAGTCGCTGACACAGCTAGTAATTAATAAATAAAGGAACTTTTACGAACGACAAATGACATTTAATTATGTTGCCAAATGTTACGCGGGTATGTCACAAATATGGTGTTCAAATGGTTTGTTATTTAAAACTCAATATTGCGACACCTTCCAAATGCATTTTAATAATATACAGAATATAATTTGCTGAAGCATATAAAATGTAAGTCTTTGTATATTTTCTTGTCTATTCATGCATTCCACGAAGTATTGTTCCGATTTTGTTAACACTAGTTACAAATACAACGGAACTGCAACAAATACGTTCTTTGTATAACGGATGTCCTTGAGAATTAATAATTGGGGAATATATTTTCCTGAAAATACACACACGTACACATTCTTCGAACTCTTTCAAAATTGGTTACGTAGACAAGCTTTTGAAACTGTATGAAAAACACAATAAGATCGTTTTAAGTTGTGTGGTACTTTTAAATAAAACACTTTAACGGTTTAAAACGCGATATATTTTAGTTAAACTAATTTGAAAATTATTTTTAACTACGGCCCTACGTTTCGGATGCTTTGCAGCAGCCGTGGTCACTGGGAGACTAAAGATGGTGGATGTCTCCAACGTCAAAGTAATTTTCAAACAAGTTTAACTAAAATATATCGCGTTTTAAACCGTTAAAAGTGTTTTATTTAAATGTGCACTACTCGCGTAAACTACAGACAGTATTTGTGTCTCTCGTATGTCACTCGAAGCCGTTTTCAAAAATTTCTTTGGAATTGGCGTTTCAGAATGCTAAGACGAAATCAAACAGATGTATCATAAACATCCGTTAAACTCTGAAAATGTGTTACCTAGATATTAATTTTATATATATGTGTGTAATGTATTTTTTTATATATTATAATAAAATCACACGAATAATTTACACCCAACTACTCAAAAAAAAATAGCTTAATGTAAATATCTACATGTGTTTACTTGATGGTAGGTGAATACGCTAGTCATATAACATCTAAGCAAGACGACCTACTTTCGTTCTGGTTATTCGGAAATCCACAGACTGAAGCCGACGATTAAACTTGACGGCTTTTTCATCTGTGGACGTTGGATCGTGACCCGGAAGGAATAAATCAAAATCAAGATTTCCAGACGAAATCTCACGTTTTAGAAAAATTATGTTGTCGTGGTGGACCTGGTGGGGATCGAATCCACGACCCGTTGATTATTAGCCAGACATTACACCAACGAACCAGTCGAGCCGATGTTCATGCTTGTGATATTTCAAGGGTGAGAATTATTCAATGAAACTATTTAACTTTATAATTTAAAAATCGAAAATAAATTGAATTTTTTTTCGACTCGAGCAGGACTTGAACCGGCATCGTCAGCGTTCCGTGCTGTTGCTCTGCCAATTGAGCTACCGAGTCGAACATTTTTTCAATTTATTTTCGATTTTTAAATTATAATACTGCCTTCATGTGCAGTAACATGTAAAAAATATTAATGTTTTGAAACTATTTAATAATAATGTATCTCCAAGATTGCATCTAAGTAAGAACCAATTTTATGAACGACCTTTAGCATTTGGGGTGGAAGGCTGAGGGGTGGCCGGCATGCCACCTGCGTACACACGTGGCTTGTTCATTCGTTGTAAGTGCCTCCGCAGACACAACTGCAACAGGCAGCTAACGGAGCGTTCTGTATTTAAAAACAGATTCTAATTTTAAATTTTCCCAAACCTGTATTTCATCATATTATGAATATACCCGAAATTTCTTTGACCTAAAGTGCTGTCACGTATTTTCTGAAAGGAGATAAGAGAGAAGAATGTTGCCTGAACAGTACATAGCTTTACAATAAATTAATTTAACATTTATTTATATTTTAAGTTAGTTATGTGTGTTAGATTAGATGGAACGATGAGCTGAGATGTGTGATTACACACATACGGGAAAGGTATACGTAATAATTTTTTTTTATGACAGAGGAATACAGACAAGCATGTGTTTCACTTCACGGAAGGTGAAGTACACCAACCAACATAACAATTTCTCTGCAAGATGTGCTATCGACCTATTTTCGCTTTGGGTATTGAGATTCCACACTGAAACCGAAGCGTGATTATACTTCACAGCTTCTGTTGACGGTGGTTCACGGACGGAATTTCGATTTATCTACCACCATCCAGATTTCTAGATATCCAACATGTTTTAAAAATATAAATTGATTTATTGTACCCGGTCAAATACACGTCCCCTTGATTGTAAGCATACGTCGTTACTAGTAGACCAACGCACCCGTTTCTATCTCAAATCAGGGTCACGCGCATGTTGACAATAGGGATTGAATTTCTTTTGTTTTTAGGCTAGTAAAAATTATTTGTGTAGGGTTGCCCCAATTAAGCAGATTAATGACAATATTTAGCGCGGAATCTCATCGGCAGTATCGCAAAATTCGGTCGCGATATAGCGTTGTATAGAAAGATGATTCGCAAATATTTTAGTTATAGATGTGTAAAGTTTTTGTGGGTGGAACGGTTTTCGTTTACATCATACATGTGTTTTGTTCGGAATAGTGGATGTTGATTTGAGTGTAAAGATGAGCATTGTGATGCTGATTCGTATGGAATTAAGAGAGGTACGCGATGGCTGTCTAGAATCTAAGTTGTTTAGAATCCTATATAAACCCTCTGTAGCCGTTATCTTTTTAATACTCTACGTAATATATAAAAAAAGCTAAAGAGTTTGTATGTTTGAATGCACTAATCTCAGGAATGGTTCCATACTGTCTATAGTTTACGCGAATAGTACACATTTAAATGAAACACTTAAACGGTTTAAAACGCGATATATTAGTTAAACTTATTTGAAAATGGTTTTTAACTTCGGTCCGACGTTTCAGATGCTTTGAGTGGACACTGGGAGCACGGCTGCTGCAAAGCATCCAAAGTGTTTTATTTAAAAGGAATGATTCCAACTAGAAAAATATTTTTCCGTTGGTTAGAGCATTTTTGGAGGAAGACACAGGGACTATAGTCCCTCTGTAGTCGTTAACTTTTTGAATTCCATATAGATTGTCAAATGGCGCAATACTATTTGTTGTGTTGTTAATCTGTTAGTAGTATTTAATTAATTATTCCTCACTAGCTGTGTCTGCGACTTTGTACACGTAGAATAGTTATTTTAGGTATACAAATTAAACTTCCTAAAATCTTAATAAATTTTGATAAAAGCCGAAGAGTTCGTTTGTTTATTTGTTTGCTTGAACGTGCTAATCTCAGAAACTACTGGTTCGAGTCGATAAATTGTTTGTATTGGTTTGAAAAATTATTGACGATGGCTTTAGGGTTTAAAAAACCAGGCTGCGACCAATAGAAGTGAAGAGACAGTGAGAGATGTGGAGAAATAAAGAGGAGAAATATTTATCTTTGGGGGTTACCGTTGTGCGATACCCAACCGTGCGGTACCGTTCAAGAATTTGGGTATCTTGAACGGTATCGCACGGTTAAATATGTATAATAAAGATATGATTAAACAATATAAAAAATGTCCGCGACAGTATATATCTTTTGAGATTAACTTGCAATAACGACGGGACACGACCGACGTTGTAGGCAACAGCACATTAGTCATTTTGGAAATCAATGACTACTCTACGCGGACGATGTCGCGGACGGAGCTAGGTTTTAATAAACTAAAAACATTGTACACACAACGCACTTGTAACGACATTTGCGAGGAAAGATACAAAACCTCGAGAGGTTGTCAATAAAACGTTATAACCATTAATATCTTTAAACCCTGCGTGGATTAAACTTATATTTCTCTCGTCAAAATTCGAGATAACTGAATTTAGTAGCTGATAGCTAAAACCCCTTGTCTAACTGTTTTAGATAAGGCGATATATCATAAATTTATCGACAGATATTAAAAATATTGCTTTAAAGTAAGGCAAGCTAATTTAAAAATAAGAAATTCCTATAGAACGTAGAAGTCGTAACATTTTGATTTCTATTAACATAGCAATTGAACTTACGCCGTTTGAAACTAGATGGCGCTAGTTATATTGACAGTGACGACTAGACATAATATTATGAGGCTGCTAGAGGCAGAGTGGCCTAATAAAAACATGATTTTCAATAAGGAGGAAAATAAAAATTCGCAATTAACTTAGGCGAAAATGACTTTGTATTATTGTTTGTGTAAGAATTATAATAACAATTTAGTCACTGTGCTCTTGTAAATAAACATTCTTGGAATATAAAAATATAAATAAGTCAAGTCATAAAATTGCAGTTAGGCCACTCTTGCTCTAGCCGCCTAATATTACTTCAAAACTGAGTACAAGAAAAAACATGCTGCATTAAAATTACATAAATTGTGATACGGACAAGAAAACAATGACGTTTTTAATTATGTCTAATATAGCTATATAGTGGTACACTGTCGCCCATTTTACGCCTGTGGTAGGTGTTTTATTGGTTTTATAAAACTCGTTAGAACTGACCTCCGCTGTGCAGAGAAGTCTTCTCGCATAGGAGAAGGTTTTTGCACCCACCATGCTCCTCCAGTGCAAATTGATGAGGCTTTAAATTTCTCCTGTTAGTGTTAGTAGTTAGGTGATAAACGAGACTGACATCATTATAAGAGAAAGAATTCTTTCATACATTTTGCAGTGATGTACACATCGGAAACTCACAATAAATTTTCCGTATTTCCCGCTGTTTCTTCTCTCCTTTTATTCACAGCGCCTTTCTCGATAAACGCTTAGATCAATACAAAAATAATTTTTCAATTCGAACCCGTAGTTCCTGAGTTTAGTGCGTTCAAACAAAAGAACTCTTCCGCTTTATATATAACTTTAAACTTAAGCTATTACCCAAGACATCGGTTGCGTCCCTTCCCGCCATTCTTACAAGTTAATCTTAAAAAATAGACATATAGCGTCGCGGACTTTCTTTTAGATCATTTAAAGAGAAATTCATCCCGTGATTGTTTCAGCAGCCGTGAGTCTCCCATGGCTGCTGCAAAGCATCCGAAACGTCGAGCCGAAGTTAAAAATCATTATCAAATAAGTTTAACTAATATATAGCGTTTTAAACCGTTAAAGTGTTTTATTTAAATTAAAAATTATTCTCTCATCCATATTTTTTGGGTGTCTTGAACCGTTTTCGCAGCGTACGCATCTGAAACCCACATAGATTGTGGAATTGGGGCAATTTAAATTTCCCACTGAACCGTTGCTTGTCTTCGTTACAGCGCAATGTTTTATAGCTTTTAGCCTGCCTCGAAAAACGCTCTAACAAACACAAAGAGATTTTTTCAATTCGAACCAGTAGTTTCTGAGATTAGTGCGCACAATCAACTATCGTTGACATAGTTAGAAACTCCCATACTTCACACCGGAGGTGCAACAGTGATGTTCAAACGATAACTCGCGGCCCATAGTTATGTAAATGCGTAATCAGATATATAATCCACATTCTAAGTATCGTATTTGTAATTCAAGAATCACAATGCACTTGATAAATATCGACTACGTACTTGTCATTTGTATCTTCGAATGAATACAATGGTGAGGCTATTTTCGTTACATTCTACGAAAATTTGCATTGCGCAATTAGCGTTCTTTGCAACTACGTTGACTTATAAGATAACTAGATGTGTCAGAGACTTCTTCCGCATAATATTGTAATTTTGGGCATCCAAATTTGTTGTTACAATTTACAGGGCGTCCCTTCCCGTCGTTCTTGCATGTTAATCTTAAAAGATAGACATATAGCTTCGCGGACTTTTTAGTTCATCGAAAGAGGAATCATTCTTTGATAGATATTTTTTGGCTATCTTACACCGGGTAACCTTAAACTTTGGGTAACCGTTTTTATAGCGTTCGCCTCGGAAACCCGCCAGAGATGAATAATTTTCCCCGTTTCTTCCACGTTTCCCGCTGTTTTTTCGCACATTGCGCACGTTTAAACCTATAAACTTCCCCGAGAAATACTCTGACCAACAGAAGAAGAAGTTTTCATGTCGAACCGGTAGTTCCTGAGATAAGCGCATTCAAAAAAACAAACGAACTCTTTAGCTTTATATATTAGTATAGATATGCTTTTTGTATGTACCTTTTTCAATGATGGGGACAAACAAGCATGGGGCTCACTTGATGGTAGCTGATGTGCCCCAGCCTATAAGCATCTAAACAAGTTGCGCTGTCGACCTATTTTGGTTGATATTCAGAAATCCACAGACGAAACCCGAAACACGATTAAGCTTCACGGCTTTTTCATCTGTGGATGATGGTTCGTGGTTATATTCCTACCAATATATACGTATATATTGGTAGGAATATAATATACGACCTACCATAATATACGATGTTCCTACCAATTCTTACAAATTGTAAACATTTTGGACCCACTGGGGAGCGTACCCGTGACCCGTTGATTTGCCATAGATTGCTACAATTACACCAACGCGGTCGCCAAAACTAAACGTTACGATATATGTAAAAAAGATAGTGTTACGGTATTGTTAAAACGAGACTCCTACATCGGAAACGGAAAATTCCTAAAATTTAATTTAACTCGGTGGCACAATGTTGGAACAATACACCACCACGCACGCATAAATAATTTAGTTAGACTCAAAGAATAGCCTTAACGCACTACCAGAGCACTTTGCAGCTGGGCGAAAGAATTTTGCAATTGTCCTTAACAAAAATTACAAAATACTTACTATACTACACTAGTTAGTTTACAAATCAGTGTTTAACAAACAAACAGCACGGTTTTGCTGAATATCAGTGTTGTAGCGTATCTGCGCTGCAATTTATGTCGACGGAAGACCCTCTTGGCACCGCTTTTCTTCTAGTTTAACTCAATCTCTCATATCATTGTTTTTCGGGCTGTTCGGCCGATGTGAGCGAGAAGAGGTTCTCGACGTTTCGCCATCGCGTGTGGACGGCATCATCAGGAGATGTTGACTCCCCGATTGCTCGAAGAATTAAGTTAATTCTCTATTCTTTATTTGTATATCATTTTCTTAAAGATAATTGCAGTTAATTAAAATAATTTCACGGCTATAAATGCGATGTGTATTAGTTAAACCTTTAAATAAAAACACTCCCAATTTAAAACGCGATATATATTAGTCAAACTTATTTGAAAGTTATCTTATCAAAGGCCCGACGTTTCGGATGCTTTGCAACAGCCGTGGTCACGGGGAGACCTAATGTATATCGCGTTTTAAACCGTTAAAGTGTTTATTTTAAATGTGTACTACTCGCGTAAACTACAGACAGTATTTAGTTAAACTTATTTATTTACGGCCCGACATTTCGGATGCTTTGTAACAGTTGTGGTCACGGGGAGACTCCCCCTAGGTAAAATAATTTGTGTTTATTCACGTAGGTGATGTTCATATGTGTACCTAGTCGGTAGTTCATACTTATGAACGTCACACCCAAAGACACTAAATTTACATTTACTACCAGTTCTCAAATGAAGGGCGTATTACATATTCCTTAAAGAAAACGTAGGTACGTAACCTACTTCGTTTTTTTTTTATTAGGCGTGAAAATCGCAGCATCGCAAACAGCTGATTATAATTACAGCTCGGGTATTGTTTGTTGACAGGTAAGTGCAGGGTCGTGGGAGGTTGCGTCCGCGCAGCGAAGTGTTATTTTTACGGAGACGCAGTCCGTTTAACTGGCTGTAAGGTTAGCTCAGTCGGCCGGCGTCCAGCGTTCCATGTGGATGTGTTGAGGCAGATATGAGCAGTGGGCGACGAAAACTATCCTTCCTGGGCTTTGCGCCGCAGGTTAGTTCGTTATATATTTGGTATATCGTTTAAATGTAAATATTTAGATTCTAAGTTTTAATAGACGATTTAAATTCGATTTCTCAACGTTTTTATAAATAATACGCAAATTTTAAATTTATCGTTTTTTTTTATATAACGTGAAAGTAAATATTGTTCTATAAATATTTTTTTAAATATAAAATAATCGAAGGTATACTATTTGTTATTATTTTATATCTCAATTAATCAGTGTTACGAGTATAATACACAAATTGTAAATTTATGTGCGACACTATTTTTTTCACCCTACTTATGTTTCTAGTAATTATTATTTTTTATTGTAAGGTCAACGATTGTATAACATAATGTTTGACACATAAGGGTTATTCAAAGAATTTTAATGAACAAATAATAAAAAGTTAATTACTTGATACTAGTTTCTTAAAATAAAACACTTTTAACGTTTTAAAACGCAAAATATATTTAAAAATTATTTTAACTACAACTAGTCACCACATCTACTGCAAATCATCCATGGTCCGCATACATCTCGCGTTTTAAACCGTAAATAGTGTGTTATATAAATGAGACCGTTTGCGTAAATTGTATTCTCCTCTATACGAGTTCAATTATAATATAATATTAGTTGCAACTATTTAAATAAAACACTTTAACGGTTTAAAACGCGATATACATACCCTCCATCTTTAAATAATTTTAACTAATATATAACGCGTTTTAAACCGTTAGTGTCTTATTGTAATATGTAGGTACTACTCGCGTAAACTACAGATAGTATTTAGTTGCAACAGTAATGCCAACATCTGATAAATTTGCAAAACTAATTGATTATATATATAATTTAATTTAATCAGAGAAATTAATTTGAAGTGTCCTTTAAAGTTGAGTAGTACAATACAGTTTTAGCCTTTGATTCTTAGTTGTAAGCGCGTGCGCTGTATTGCGGGAAATGCCATACGTTCACTACGATTATTGGGATAAAATTACATACGTCCAAAGCCGTAATAGATCAACGGCACATCTTAATTAGATGTTACAGGACAACTTCTGTCAACTAAACGCGAAATTTGTGTCTGTGCTCTGTCATGAATTTTGAATGAGGAACCCGCTCTAACAAGAAAAAATATACAGTGCACTTAAAGTACATAAATAATTTAAAATGAAACTTGGCGATAAAAGGAGTGACGGCGAGTTTATTGCCAGTTCCTCTCGTTCGTTCTACGCCCCCGACTTGAGAACTGGTCGTTAATGTAGAGTTAGATTCTTTAATTTTTTTTTTCCGTTCATAGTTACCTATATGAATAAATCATTTTTGACTTTGACTTTGACTTGACGTGATAAAGCCGTGAAGGTTCATCGCGTTTCGGTTTCAGTTATATTCCCGATAAGTCAAAATAGGCCGACAGCGCATCTTGTTTTGTTGTTATATAGCCATCATGTAAACCCCATGCTGCTCTGTCTTGCCCTATCATAAAAAATTGTATTAAGTAGTTGGTAGTCCAATGAATTTACTTATCTCTACGTCCAGGTGCTTGGTATACTATTCATATATCTAGATCTGATAACTATTTTATAACAATGATATCGCCATATTAATTTACGATCGCGAGAATCATTGATGCCAATTTGCTTCACTATTGCGTATTGAATGGCAATGTTGCAGAAGTAGAATGATTTTTTTAATCATAGAGAATGACTGAAATACCCCAGCCAAATAGCATATACACAGAAGCGATTCATTTCAACTTTGGATATTTGGAAATCCACAGAATGAAACCGACACGCGGTACCGGCTTTTCCACCACAATATTCTCACCACCAACTTAATATCAAGATTTCCAGACGAAGTCCAACATGTTTCAAAAAAATTACTAACCTCATTCGATGCCTTCTAGATTTTTCCTTCGTCGTTCGATCCTCGGAACGAGTGAATCCGCGGACGTTCACTAGTCGTTTCACCTAACCTCTGATATTAGGTTTTTCTCGAACGCTAAATGAATATATTAGGTTGTTTATTGAGGTGACATTAGTTTCGCTGTTATTACCTACTTGCGGCCGTGATACCTACTTGATCGGAATTTGAAACATCTCTAAATTTACTTAGTTATTTTGCACACACCTCTGCATACAAATATGTACAATTTTAAATGTCCAGCGGTAACAGTAGACTTTAAAAGTTGATTAATATGTTATAATCTTTTGCGTGGTTCATTAATTTTCGTCAAATAGAACGATCTTGTTGTTTATAATATTACTAGCTAACATCATAGGCTGTTTTGCTACATTAATTCTAGATATTATTTTGGCAGAAAAAATTAACTAACTTTCTTCGAAAATTTAGTATATAAAAGTGAAAGGAAAAATTAGATTAAAACCTATTCTCATGCTTTAAAAATATATGTATATACAAAATTTCATTAATATCGGTTCACCAGTTATTATACAATGTATTCCATCATGTATTCCAAAATTTAACGGGTTCAAACACAAACTATATTAGACAATTAACTTAACACCACTTCCTATGTTTTCGGTAGAAGTTATAAACAGCGCGATTTAAACAGTTTAAATTTTAATATGCAACGCAGTTTCATTTAAATTTCGTTTCTTTTCAAGTATTTAGTACTATTCAAATGGTGATGTCGATGTTTTTGTTGTTATTATACTGTTAAGTGCAAATAATATTTATAGCAGACCGCAGCCTTAGATCCACTAGTGCTTGAATGATTGTCACTTCCGACACTTGTCTCAGTATCGCAAAGAAGCTCGTAACAAAGCAACAAGTAGTTAGGGAGTTAATTAGTATATTGTATGTAATTTTCATTTGTTACTTGGCACGTCCTACAGACATTAAAGTTTCACTTCAAGTAAGACGGTTTAAAAGGCAACAATGAACAAAGTCGTGTGATTTTAGTATTCTGATTTGATTTAAATAAAACACTTTAACGGTTTAAAACGCGATATATTAGTTAAACTTATTTGAAAATCATTTTCGAATAAGTTTAACTAATATATCGCGTTTTAAACCGTTAAAGTGTTTTATTTAAATGTGTACTACTCGCGTAAACTATAGACAGTATTCTGATTTGATGTCCATACTTGAAGCAAAATTATTTAGACCTGGATTTTTAATTTAAAAGGAGTCTAATTCTATATTTTTTAAATCTAAGTATTCGTAACTTCAATACCATTAATCATACCAAAAATAATAATTATTCTAATAAACAACCAAGGAGAAGGTAGAGCAATAAACATTAAAGTATTACTAGAATTAGTCGTGTCATACAAGGAACAGGTTGATACATTTTTAATAAACGACTAGTAACGGTTTAAAATAAAGCCGTGGTCACGTGGGTATTGAGGATGGAGGGAGCGGCTTTCATTTAAATAACACTTTTAACTGTTTAAAGCATGAATTATATTAGGTTTAATTTTTTTTAACTACCTACTAACCTACTATTCAAATGCTTTGTAGCAGCCGCGGGGTGCCTGAAGGTGGTGGGTGTTAATAATGTCAAAGTAAAATGCTACGCTAGCGCCATCTCTCATTTTAACAATCATTCCTAAAAAAAAATGCAATATGGTCGTAAAGTCCATTTTATACCTTCTTTAACTTGTTATTGCACAGGCACTATATAATAGGACTCGGTAGCTCAATTGGTAGAGCAACAGCACGGAACGCTGACGACGCCGGTTCAAGTCCTGCTCGAGTCGAAAATTTTTTCAATTTATTTTCAATTTTTAAATTACATAGTGCCTTCGTTAACCAAAATATGTAAATTTAATATTTAAGAGAGTTCCAGCTTTGTTAGGTGTATTTTCTCGAAAGCATAACGTAATGTAGAATGGATTCCAAACTATACATAGATCCTTATAAGTGTTACTAAGGTCAGAACACTGGTGTACCTTCATAAATTATTGACCTATATTGACAAGTCGATTATATATGTGAATAGAATTCGATAAGAAAAAGCGGTTAGAAAAAAAAAACTTTATCTATTAACCGCCCCGTAGCTCAATGAAACACCCTTTGCATACCGTTAAGCAAAAGTTGTCGCGCGTTCTGCGCTCGGCAAAATATAATAAAAAAAAAAATATATTATTTTAATAATTTTTTTAATTTAATTTCGATTCAAAACACGGTAGTCGGGTGCTTGACAGCATCCGTGGTGCGGCGAGAGGGGGGGGGGACGATCTCGGACCATAGTACGCTTTTCAAACCGTTAAAAGTGTTTTATTGTTTTATTCAAATGTGTACTACTCGCGTAAACATCCAATAAAAAAAATGAAGAGGATATTCGATTATTTTTATTTAGTTTACTGATTTATTATTGAAGTGTTAAAGTATTTTTTGTTAGTATTGTCTATCTGTTGTTGAACACTTTCTAGCAATCCTAGTTCCTTAGTAAAAGCGTTTTAAGCGTTCAAAATAAATAAGAATGAGTTAAAGGTTATACCTTTCCGTTTATTTATACCAATATACTTTTAAATTGAATTCGATGCACTATAATAAATAACAAAAGCTAATAATAGAATACTACAGGAGATAATCAAAGGCAATTATTTTTAAATAGATTTTTTATTGAAACATAATAGCCGTGACATACAGAAAAATGATCGTTATATTTATTATCTGTATTGTTATTTATTCAGTAACAGAGTTGAACGCACTTAGAAAATTGACAACGTTATAATATTATTCGGATTCTACACAATGTGAAATCTATACTAATATATAAAGCTGAAGAGTTTGTTCGGTTGAACGCGCTAATCTCGGAAACTACTGGTTCGAATTGGAAAATTATTTTTGTGTTGGTTAGAGCACTTATCGAGGAAGGCTATAGGCTATTAGAAGCGAAGACATGGGAAGCATGAAATGTAAAAAACGGGGGAAATTATTCATCTCTGGGTTGTGATGTGCTGTGGAATCGGTTCCCAAAAAATATGTATGAAAAAATAATTTCTCTTTAAATTATCCAAAAAAATGTCTGCAACAC